TTAATCAGCGAGCAGACACCATTGGGCTACACTAGCACGCGACAGGGACGAATGGAGACGTTACCGGCGCCCACTTGAGCAAATCGATGAGTAACGGGATGTCAAGTGAGCAAGTGTTTTTTTTATTAGGTTGTTTTTTTTTTTTATCCCCGGGAGATAGTTAAAAAGCTTTCCTGTTTGAGTTTCAGTCATCCAATGATTGATCGATCACCCAACCCTCCACCACCAAGGTCCCTGGTATCCCCCCATCCCACCCCTCCTCCAGCCTCGATGGCAGACAATCTCCCCCATACTCTTTTGTGCTGCTTATTATGAATAGCATAAGATGTCGTGGCCGCGCTCTCCTGGAATTCTAACATTTTAGATAATCAGGGTCTGGAGAAATCTCTGCAGCGAGCTGATCAGTCGAGATTCCCTGTGAGTCTCTGGATCATGGCCGATAAGGAACTTCAGTAGCAGCCAGAGGCAGTTTGTGGGCGAGACCTCCAGGGTCCCATGGGGATGGGGGATGAGAGGGACCGGCCCACCCCCTATCCCTTGAGGCCTGGAGTCTGCCGTCACTGGACCCGCGCACCTGCACTTCTCATTGGGTTCTGCAAGTTGGCGGTCACCGGGGTCCTTAGGGGTCATTTCCAACGTGTTCTTCGTCCTTGCCGGGAAGTGTGGTTTGGCCGGAGCTAGTCTCTTCCGCCGGGCCAGGGGCGGCCTGCCAGCGGCTTGGTGGGTTCTGGAGAAGGGGGTTCTCCCGAGGTCCCGGGGCTGGTTCTGGAGGGCCGACTGTCCGGGGCACGGAACCCCGTGACTCCCACGGGTGCTCAGCCTCCTGCTGACAGGTAGCAGAGCGAGTGGGGGCTCGCCTCGCCCACGGCAGACCCAGGTCTGACCCCAGCGCTGCGGAGACTGACTCCTGAGTGCCGAGCCGAGTAACCCCTGAGCATCGCCAGGTGCGGCCCCAACAAGCAAAACTGCCCAGTCTTCTCCTAACATCAGGCGAATACTTTTTAAGCACGTGTTAAAAACCCAGGTCCAAGTTCTTTCCCTCTTTTCCTCACCACGTGCGGCCTGGCGGTGCCCAGCTGGTGAGGGTAAGGTTTGTGCGAAGAGCCTGGGGACCCAGCACCCCCGTGACCCGGCCACAGGCTGGCATCCCTCTCAGGAGGCCGGTGCAGGAGCTGGGGCTAAGCGTGTCCCTCCCCACACCCTCTGGTCCCGTAAGCATCGGACTGAGGGGACACCCTCCTCCCCGCACCCCTGTGCCAGACGAGGCGCAACTTCCCGCGTCTCGGGGAGGGGCTGGCGGGCCACTCTCTCCGGGCACCTGGGCACCTTCCCCTTCTACGGAGAAGCTGCAGGAAGAGGCCGCTCAGAGCGTCACCAGCCTGTCACCTTCGTCTCCACGTCCAGGAGGAAATGCCGCCACCCAACGGCAAGGGCAGGGCCTGGCCCCAGGCTGCTGGCTGCCATGGCTCCCTTCACTCTCCCCTCCCGCCTCTCAACCTTCCTTCCATCTTTCCGCAGAGGCCCCTGGGGCCAAAGAGCCAATGTCAGCCCCAGCCCCCATCCGTGGGGAGGGAGGAACAGCCGGGTGTGCCTCCAGGCGGCACCAGCACCGGGCGGGGTGTGCTGGACAGGGCCGGCTGGGACCAGCACTGACCAAAGCCTCTGCTCAACCAGCAACAATGCCGCTTCTGTTCCGGAAACAAAGGCAGGCCCAGCCCGGCTCAGGGACGGCCCCTCCTCTCTGCCCTCAGGGATGGCGTCCGGCTCCTTCAGCCTCTGGGCACGATTCCCAGGGGAAGTCGGATCGGGCTCTGCCCATGCACAGGAGTGGGCTTGGGGCCTGAAGGGGGGCCCGGAGGACCCCTCCCTCCACCGCACCAGCTGCGCCCACCGCTCCCTCCCCTGCTCCCTCCCTGCTGCAAACAGGAACCAAGAGCCTCCCTGGCATGGCGCCCCGGGGCCTTCCATGGGCTTCTGACACTCTGACTGCCCCCGAGCCAGCCGCCTCACGGGCACACCAGCTGCAACAACTCCTGCTGTTCAGGAGGACCTGGGTAAGTAAACCAAGGCCATCACTAGGGCGTCTACGATCCCGCCGGGAGTGCAAGGCAGCAGCCTCGGTCTCCACTGCCGTCTCCTGACCGCCCGCCCTCCGGCCTCCTCTAAGCTGGGGGCACGAGGCCACCCACGCACACGCTTCCCAGAGGGAAACTGATGAACCATGGCTGGGTCGGCTCAGGTGGTAGGGCACAGACCTGGCACGCAGGTCTGAGTTCAAACCCAGGATCCACATGTTCCCCGCCCCCCAGCACACCAGACACCACCCTGGTGGCCCCCAGCCCCCCACATGAGTACCCTGTCTGAGCACCACTGAGTACCCTGAGTAGCACCGAGTACACCGAGCACCTTTTGATGCTGACCTTAACGTGTGTCTTAGGCTTCATCAATGAACTGCCCCTTTCCTCTCCCCAGAGAAGCTTACAGTGCCCTTGCGAGCACCCCTAATCTCCCGCGTTTATCTTTAACCTTTTCTTTGTTTCACCTCTCATCTCACAATTCCCCAAATCAGTCTTTGTTACTGATAAACCAAAGCTTTCTGGTAATTCTGGACTCTGTATTTGTAGTTACCTGCTTCTCTACTTCCGCTGTAGCCTTTTCAGTTTACTAGAGAAAAGGTTAAACACAGTAAGACCGTTAATGCAGTGCTCCTAGTATTTGGGAGTTGGTTGACTCTGGAACATATTTGCTCCTGGGCATCCTCCAGAATTACCAGACTCAGACTTCGGCTGCTGTAGTTCCTAACACCCCAAAAGGGAGGTCCCGCCATAGGACCGGGATGGACCCGGGGCAAGTGGCAAAGCTACCCTGGCATTGAAATGGGACAGTCTAGAAAGCTAAATGCCTGATCTTGATGCGAGCCGTTATGACTTAAGAGACAGGACCCCCACGGGGAAGGACTAGCTGAACTGGCCCGAGGACTTAGTCTGAGATTTACGGTTAAAGCTCCCTTGCCTTCAGAGCCAGAGAACTAAGTTTTAGATCTTTATCTCTTACTGTGTTTATCCAAGTAACTGCAAGCATTATAAGAAGTAAACGTGACTGTTTAAAATGCACAACTTAAGAGAAAGAGAAAAGCAACACAGACGTCCCTGGGCGTCAGAGTGTCTCCTTGAGTCAATGCGCCCCAGAGAACTGCCTCCGCCGAGACGCTTGGCCTCTAACTGATCAGTCACACCTGCGAGCAGTCCGGTGCCTCAGCCCCTCGGATGCTCGTAAGTACGTGAGCAGCTCTGCAAGAAACGGGCCGCTCTCACCATCAGCCCGTGCATCCCGGCTCTTTGGTCCTCTGCTGGGGAGTCCTGGGAGGACGGGGGGGGAGGGGGGGCGACTCAGCCACCGAATGCACCCAGGACCCCCACACAGCTGTCAAGCCACAAGGACCCTCTGAGCACCACTAAGTGCCCCGTCCTGGTAGCATTGAGTACCCCAAGCACCCTGTCTGAGCACCAGTGAGTATCACCGAGTACCCCACCTGAGCACCACTGTGAACCCCATCTGGGGCTTCTGAGTATCCTTCCTGAGCATCAATTCTTTCCCCACCTGAGTACTACTGAGCACCACTGGGCACCTCACCTAAGTACCACTGAGGACCATAAGCACCCGAGCACCCTGCCCGAGTCCTAAGGAGCTCCCCTGGCCACATCTGGGCACTCCGTGTGCTTTGACAGCACTTGTGGAGAAAAGCTGTGAACGCAACGGGGGCAAGAAGGGGAAGGGGCAGAGGACGCCTCCCGGGGCACCTCGACCAGGAAGGGGGTGCAAATCGCCTCCCAGATTGCGGCGGAAACTCGCCCCCTCCTCCTCATGTCCTTCTTGCTCCCCCGAGTTGTGTGTGCGTGTGCTTGTGTGGTCTGAATGCATGTGCACGGGAGCACGTGTGCATGTATACAGATCGTGCTGTGCACACATGCATCCTGTCTGTTCTCATGCCGTCTGTCTGCCTGTGTGTGTGTTATGTGTCCAGCGAAGTGGAGGTCTGGGGGGTTGGGGGGTCTCATCCGATCAGTGTCCCAGGGTGAAGGGAGAGCCCAGCACCCCTGCATGCCCGAGCACCTCTGAGCACCCAGGACTAGGGCGTGTTCATGGGTTGGTCCTCCTCCTGCTGTGTCATCCCTGCGCCCCGGGCCCCTTCCATGGGCTCTGCTGCAGCCCCAGGAGCCCTCTCCCCACTCAGGACCGCCACCCCAGGGGTGGGGGGAGATGTTCATCTTGGTGCAAGCATTTGGATGCAGCCAGCCCCGTCCCCTGACAAAGAAGGCTGCGAGCTCGGGCTCCCTGTCTGAAGAGGACAACAGGGGAGCTCGGGGAGGCTGGAGGAGAAGCCGGGGTGCGCAGAGCCCAGCCGTCTGCACCCCAGGAGGCTCTGAGAGAGCGCCAGCCCCCGCCAGCCCAGTCGGGCTCCAGTCCCCTGGGGTGGGTGTCCGCTCGCCACATGCTGGGTGCAGCCCAGGCTCTGCACCGTCGTCTGGGCTGGTCAGACCCGATTCCTGCAACCCACGGAGAAGCCGCTGCTTCCCTTCCACACGGCCCCTCCTGTCAGCCCCACGCCTGGCGACTGCTCTGGGTGCTCAGGCCTGCGGGGGAGACCCCAACCCACCAACAGCGCCCGCACCCACAGATGGGCCCCAGCAACCCCCACCCAGACAGATCCCGACACCCCAACCACACCCACAGACAGACCTCGACACCCTCACCATGCCCAGACAGACCCCAGCACCCCCTGCCATGCCCACTGACCCTGCCTCCCCCACATCCACGAACAGACCACAGCACCCCCAACCACGATAACAGACAGACCCCAACCCCTCCCCATCACACCCAGACAGACCCCGGCACCCCCCAGAACTCTCTCCACGCCAGGCTGCACCCAGCGGTCCTCCCACAGGGAAGGCAAGCCTGAGAACTGCAAGTGACCCAGAAACACAAGGTCCACCAGTGAGTTTACTTCAACATTGCAAAAAATTCATATATTATTTATTACATATAATAAGCAATCTTTAGCTTAAAGTAAAAACTTTCACAGTTAAGAAGTGGTTTTACAAAAGCTTAAAAAAACATACATTGGAAAGAGCCGAAAGACTGATTCTACCTTGCTGCCTAGGTTTCTCCCGAGATGGCCACATCTCGGACACCTGGACAGGTCCAACTGGCCATAATCACAGACACTGGCAACGATCAGGGGCCGTGGGGGCCCCTCCCCAGGCCCCGGGGTCAGCGGCGCCTCGGGAGGCATCCGAGCAGGACAGCGTGTCCCGGAAGCCAGGCAGCGACCTCCGGGGGTCCTCGGGAGTGGCTGGTCCTCAGCCCAGGAGAGAAGAGCAGCACTTGATCACGGCGTCCCTGTGGCCGGGGACAGAAGCACCGAGCCTGAGACGCGCGCAGAACCGACCCCAACCGCAGCGACGCTCCCGCCGGAAGACAAAGGCCCGTGTGGGCCTGACTAGGCCTGGCTGGGGGCCTGACTGGGGTTGACTGAGGCTGACTGGGGGCCTGACTGGGACCCTGACCGGGGGCCTGATAGGCCCGACGTGGGCCCGAGGTGCGCAGGCGGCTCCCAGTCCTCCTAGATGTGACTTGCTTTGCTCCCTCTATTGCTGAAAGATCCGGATATTTCCAACTGAGCAGCCCAGTGCTGCCGTTTGAGTTTTTTCTTTCCCCCCTTTTTTTGCCAAGGCCTTGCACGCCACTGGCCGGGTAGTTGCGGTCCTGGGAGATGCGGGAGCTCCCCACCTCCTACTGCGGATCCCCGCCCCGCTGATGTCCTTCCGTGGGTTCTCCTCGTCGCTAGCCCCTGCTCAACCCCTTCAAACACTGCTGCTCTGCGGAGCGTGCAGGGAGGACTTGAGATAAGGGTTGCAAACGGCCCCTAGAAAGGGGCGGGAGGTGGCTCTGGGGACAGGTGAGGCCTGGGGGTTGTGGAAGCCTCCCGGGAACGCAGGGACAGAGGCGGCTCACCTGGCGTACGGGATGTAGGACAGGCTGTACCTGCAAGAGAGAGTCCGCGGCTCAGACTCCTGGACACCCTCAGCGCAGCTCAGTTCCAGCCCAGTGCACAGCGGGCTGGACCCAGAGGGGCTGGGCTGGAACTGAGAGGGGAGACTGCGGACGCCCAGCGTCCTCCCAAGCCACGCAGGTCTGGCCCGGACTCGGGACTCGGACCCACGACCACCGGCAGCCGTTTCTCAATGGAAAGGCCTGGCCCCAAATGACTGGTTTGAGTTGGGGCCACTCCCGGCCGGCTTACTCCCAGCTTACTCCTGGCGCCGTGCTCAGGGCTCAATCCTGGCGGTGCTAGGGTCTCCCATGGGGTGTTGGGGATCAAACCTCTCATGTGCAGGCAAAGCAAGAGCCCCCCTAAGTAGAAGGAACTGCATTTTCCCCTGGCATCTCCGTGCAGGGCGGCCGAGAGCACAGGGGGCGCTGGCCGTGCGTGCAGCCAACCACATCCCACCCAGCACTGCAGGTGGTCCCCAAACCAAGGAGCAACAGGAATGGGCCGTGCAGTGCCATCGTGTCCCCGTCCTCTGGCTGAGAGGCAGCGGCACGCCGTGGCCGCCGTCTCTGCAGTGAACAGGTGGGCCGGGGACCGACGGCCGGCCTTTCAGACGCCACAGGGAGGAGGCCTGATCTAGCCAGGGAAAGGGGCAACCTCTCCCCCGGCCCCTCCCCCTGGACAATTGCCCGGCTGCCGAGTCACGTCAGGAAGGGGAGCCCAACCACGCAGCCTTCCAGACCCCTGGACTCTCAGCCCTCACTAGAGACTCCCCCACCCCTGGCTGTGCTCAGGCCGCGTGGGACTCACCAGGTCATGGACAGGAACTGCAAGAGGCAGAAGAGCAAGGCCAGGCCCTTCTTCTCCCACTGTCAAGGGCAAAGACAGAAGTGGGTCAGCCCGGCTTTTCACCGCCGTACCATGTACCCTGCGACCCACCAGCCCCGACTCGCCGGAAGCAGCCCCCTAAATCCCCAAGTCCAAATGCACGTGCCATGGCCTGGGAAGGGCCGGCCGTGGTGGGGTGAGCATCCGAGGCTGGACCCTCCCATGCCTCAGGCCCAGCTGCTTGCTGGCCTCAGGGAAACGTCCTCGGGCGGGGCTCCCGGCAGCACTGGCGGCTGAGCACCTCCCCAAGCTCCTGGCCAGACCTCAGGGTCCTCATCTGCTGCTCACAAACAGGCCAGAGGTCACCCAGGGCCCATCAGGCTGGCTGTATCCAGCATGCGGGGCGTGAGCGAGGAGCCCCGCGTGTGCGCCTGCTGTCACCGCGGGTCCCGAGCTCCCGAGCACTCGGGCCTGCCTCAGGAGCCAGGCGTCAGTGCCCACAGCAATGCCCCTGCCCCACGGACGCTGGACTCACCCAGAGAGCGGCGCAGAGGGTCAGCACCAGGCACAGCTGGGAGGAAGAGAGAGAGTGAGAGCGGGCACCAGGGTCCCCACGGGCGTCACCGGGCGGCCGTCCTGAGGGACGTGGGGTTCAGACGCAGCAGACAGGCGGCGCCAGCCCAGTGCCAGGGAGAGGGGCCGGGGCCCCTGCTGGGCTGGCCTGGACCCGACAGCCCCTGTAACCGCGGGGGACTCCCACCCTGTGCGAGGGGCCCCGCGCAGCTGGCTCAGAACGGAACCTCTTGCTCCCACCACGATCCGAGGAGACGCCGAGAAACCCCCACGCGAGCTGACTCGGGCAACGGGAACCCCCAGAAATACAGTAACGCAGGGGGTGGAGCGCAGCTCGTGGCCGACCCAGGTGCCATCCCCGACACCCCACAGGGCCCCGACGCCGCCAGGAATGACCCTGAGCACTGCCGGGGGGGCCCGCCCGCCCGCCCGCCGCCCGCTGCTCACGAGCATGAGGACGGTCGCCAGCAGCCGCGTGGTGTCAAACATCTTCTTCAGCTGCTTCACGGGCCCCATCAAGAAGCAGGTGCTGCATGCACGGAGCGGCAAAGGTCCCGCGAGCCGGGGGTCACTTCTGAGCACGCTGGTGGCCACTGCCCCGTCCCCACACCCCATCCTCGGCTGAGGACAGCGGCAGCAGCTGTGCCCGGGGGCTCGCTCGTCTCCTGCTCACGCCCTCGGGGTCCCCTCGGCCACCTCGGCCCAGAGCCTCCCCTGGACGCCCCACCGTGCTCGCCCCGGCTGCCCCCGCCCTCAGCTCCAGGCGGGGGGACACAAGGCACCAAGCCGGTCCCCGGCTGCCGGCCGACACGGTCAGTCCCAACTCAGGGTCAGGCTCGCACACCCGGGCTGAGGGGCCCGACCTGCGGACGTACCTGGCCAGCGCCGCAATGTTCCCAAAGGTGTAAAACACCGCGAAGAGCCTCATGCCCTTGGGCAGCCACAGCAGGCCGGTTCCCTGCAGCAGACAGAGAAACCAGGCTGCGGCAGAGAGAAACCAGGCTGCGGCAGAAACAGACCTGGCTGTAGGAAAAACAGAGACCAGGCTGTAGAAGAGACAGAGAGAGACCAGGCTGCAGAGACAGAGAGAGACCAGGCTGCAGAGACAAAGAGACACCAGGCTGCAGAGACAAAGAGAGACAGAGACCTGGCTGCAGAGACAGAGAGAGACAGAGACCTGGCTGCAGAGACAGAGAGAGACAGAGACCTGGCTGCAGAGAGAGACCAGGCTGCAGAGACAGAGAGAGACAGAGAGAGACCAGGCTGCAGAGACAGAGAGAGACAGAGAGAGACCAGGCTGCAGAGACAGAGAGAGACAGAGAGAGACCAGGCTGCAGAGACAGAGAGAGACAGAGAGAGACCAGGCTGCAGAGACTGAGAGAGACCAGGCTGCAGAGACAGAGAGAGACAGAGAGAGACCAGGCTGCAGAGAGACAGAGACCTGGCTGCAGAGACAGAGAGAGACCAGGCTGCAGAGACAAAGAGACACCAGGCTGCAGAGACAAAGAGAGACAGAGACCTGGCTGCAGAGACAGAGAGAGACAGAGACCTGGCTGCAGAGAGAGACCAGGCTGCAGAGACAGAGAGAGACAGAGAGAGACCAGGCTGCAGAGACAGAGAGAGACAGAGAGAGACCAGGCTGCAGAGACAGAGAGAGAGACCAGGCTGCAGAGAGACAGAGAGAGACCAGGCTGACTCCGCAGCCAACACCCCCGCCAACTTGCGGGGCCGCGGGCATCACTCACGAGGATGGAGAAGAAGATGCCGCTGACGAAGCAGATGGCGAACCACTTGAGCCTGGTGCTGAAGCTGAGGGACGAGGCGTCCAGGCTCTGGCGGGAGAGGCGCGCGTCACCGGCACAGTCCCCATCCCAGCGTGAAGGCCGCCAGGGAGGGAGCGGGGTGCGGGCGGGTGGGTGGGAGAGACTCCTTGAGACCATAGCGGGGCCAGGCCTGGCTGACAAGGTGACAGCCCTGGGCAGTGGCCAGCTGACACTGGGAAGTTCCGTGGCGGAAAGTCCCCGGGCAGAACTCACACAGGCCTGACCCCCACCCTCCCGCCCACAGCGGGCCTGGGGTATGGCACAGCTGGAGCCAGGGGTGGCTTGGGGGACCCCTGGGGGTGCCCCCTCCCCAGGGGCCAGAAGCGGCCTCTGACCACTTCCAAGTCCCCCGGGCATCTCCAAGACTGCGGGAGCCCCCTCTGCCCCCTGAGCCCTGCTCCCCACTGCGGGCCTGGGGACCCTCGGGGCACACGCATGCTTCTGCCCCGGCAGCTCTCGGCCAGGGGCCAGGTCGGGGGACGCGGCAATCCCGAGGGGCCGCAGGGGACACGCGCACAGGCGGGCAGCAGGGCGGGAGGGGGCGGGGCGGGGCCAGCGGCTGCCGCAGGTCCCGGTGGACGCCTGGACGCCGCGCCCGGCTGCGGTCTCAGCTCTGCAGCGGGACGGCCGAGACCGGCAGCGGGCGGGCAGCGGGCAGCGGGCAGCGGGCAGCGGGCGGGCAGACGGCGGGCACCGCCGCTCCTTACCTCTGGGCTCCTCCGCGCCTCCTCGGCTGGCATGAAAGGCAGACAGGGGTTCACCCGAGGGCGCCGGCCGCCCGCCGCGACCCCCGCCCCGACCCCCGCCCCGCGCCGATTCCCGATCCTGCCCCGACCCCGGCTCCGACCCCGGCTCTGACCCCGGCTCTGACCCCGGCTCTGACCCCCGGCTCTGACCCCGGCTCTGACCCCCGCCCCGATCCCTGCCCGGCGCCCCGATCCCTACCCCGCCCCCCGCTCTGACCCCCACCCCGACCCCTTCTCTGACCCCCACCCCGACCCCGGCTCTGACTCCCCCACCCCCTCCCCCGCTCTGACCCCTGACCCCCGACCCCCGACCCCCGCCCCGTGCCGATTCCCGATCCTGCCCCGACCCCGGCTCCGACCCCGGCTCTGACCCCGGCTCCGACCCCGGCTCTGACCCCGGCTCTGACCCCCGGCTCTGACCCCCGCCCCGATCCCTGCCCGGCGCCCCGATCCCTACCCCGCCCCCCGCTGACCCCCGCCCCGACCCCCGCCCCGTGCCGATTCCCGATCCTGCCCCGACCCCGGCTCCGACCCCGGCTCTGACCCCGGCTCTGACCCCCGGCTCTGACCCCGGCTCTGACCCCCGCCCCGATCCCTGCCCGGCGCCCCGATCCCTACCCCGCCCCCCGCTCTGACCCCCGCCCCGACCCCGGCTCTGACTCCCCCCACCCCCTCCCCCGCTCCGACCCCTGACCCCCGACCCCCGCCCCGGCCCCGGTCCCTCCAAGGGCGTTTCCCTCCTCGGACGGGCCCGGGTCTCGGCCGAGAGCCGGCCTGCCGCGGGGGGCGCTGCCCGGGGCGGGGGTCCCGGGAGGGGAGGGGCGCGGGGGAGGGCCGGGAGGGGCGGGGGCCGAGGAGGGGACGGGAGGGGCGGGCCGGGCCGGGGCCGGGGGCGGCCCGCCCGGCGCCCACCTGCGACGTCAGCCCCTGCTCCTCGTCGTCCTGGCCGCTCAGGACCCGCCGCAGCTTGTCCATGGCCGCGCCTGGGCCGCCGCCTCCGCGCGCCGGGAGAGCCGGAACCGAAAGCCGGAAACGAAAGCCGGAACCGAAACGCCGCGCGCCGGAAGTCCCGGGCGCCGCTTCCGGCGCGTCACTCCGGCGCGACGCGCTTGGCCGGCGCGCGTGCGCACTGCGGCCGGAAGCGCCCCGCCCCGCCCCGCCCCGCCCCGCCCCGCCCCGCCGCCTCCTCCCGCGGCACCGCGGGCTCACGGGGTCCGAGTGCAGCCCGCCGGCGCGTGCTGGGACGTGGTGTCCGGAGCCACGCCGGGGCCCGCTGACCCCGCTGACCCGCACCCGTCCCGGACCCGCTGACCCCCGCTCCGACACGCTGACCCCCGGCCCGCTGACCCCCGCTCCGTTCCGCTGACCCCGCTCGGACCCGCTGACCCCGCTCGGACCCGCTGACCCCGCTCGGACCCTCGCCGCGGCTTAGACCCGTTGACCCCGCCCCGGCCTGCTCGAGGCCCCGAGCCCCCTGCAGTGCCCGACGCCGCAGGGCTGGCTCCTGGCCCCTGGCTGCGGCCCAGCGGTCACTCCTGTGGGGCTGGAGACGGCACGTGGTCCAGCGGCCACACCGGGTGGACGGGTGCAGCCGGCACCTTCCCCTGCCCCGCTGCTCCGGCCGGCCAGCCACGCCTCGTCCGACGGGCGTTCCCCGCGCTTAACCAGGGCCCCGGCCGACCCAGAAACTAACGCTGACCCTGCTTTGGCCCTTCCTCGGCCAGCCTCGGCGGGAGGCTCGGCCCTTCCTCACGTTTGCCCCCTGGCTCTGCCCTGCCTGGCCTGGGCCCTGGCATCCCCTGGCCGCCGCGAGGTCTGGGGCGCCACCTGCACGTCTGACCCACTGTGTCCAGGTGGGGACCCCGGCCAGGGCTGAGTAAGAATCGTGTGTTTGCGTGCAGGGGCCCTAGATCAGTCCCTGGCACCGCGCGGTCCGAGCACCCCGGGGGTCCCCGAGGACCACCCAGTGATGCCCCAGAACCTCCTGCTCAGCAGCGTGTGTAGCTGTGGGCCCACTACTCACGGGTTCTGCGTTTGCTAATCCGCCACTCTTGCCCGGGTGTGGTTCCGGCCGCACCTGGGGCACAGCGGGCCGTTGACCTGGATGCATTAGACTCCCCTTCCTCACTCCGCGCCCATCTGAGATTTTGTTCAGATGGCCGGGTTTCTTTCACTCCAAATCTCTGTCTAGAAAAAGACACGGGTTTGCACATTCATTTTGGTGGGTTGTGATGTTTGGAATGCCAGCCTCAGGCCAAGCAGAATGACCGCAGAATGATTGCCCTGCGCAGCCTGTACGTAACCCTAGGGGAGGAGAGAACCGCTGGTGCCTCTGCAGACTGTTAACCACCGGCACGCACGAGGTGCGCCCACGGTGGTGGTCGGCTCCTGCCTGGTCACCGATGCAGGTGCAGCCCCAGAACGTCAGGGAACAGGCTGAGCGTCCGGCCTGACACCCAGAGGCCAAGGAGGGTCTGCAGAGTGAGGCCTCGTCCCCACGCGTGCAGCTGTGTCTGCAGACCCGTCTCGCCTGGTGCATGGGGCTTGGAGGATCGTCACAAAGCCAGGGCAGCCGAGCGGGTGTGGGCCTAGCCAGCCTGACCCAGCAGACGGACACGCTGCAGCTGGGACGCCTCCAGCCGCCTCCCTCTCAAACGTGGGACGGCTGGTGCATCTGCCTGCAGCCCCCTCATTGCACACAGGATGAGCCCCTGAACTCAGGTCCCACGCCCCAGTGCTCCAACATGTTCTCCTGCCACAATTTTCAATGTCCAGCCGAGTCTCGTGGCATGGGAGATGCCACTTAAATATTTTTATTTCTGTATGCATGAGTGAGCAATTAGGACTCGTTAAACGTTTATCGAAAAGTCTCTCCAGCAGATTGGGAGACATTCTGGGGGCATTCTCTGCCTTTCTAGTGGATTAAGAGCTGGCTGGGAGCTGGCACACGGCCAAATGGGTCCGCTGGCCGCACCTCATTCTCCAGTCACCTTGTGTCTGCGGAACCTGCTGGAAGGGCTTTTGTGTTCTGCCCTCAAGAGGCCACTCTCATACACACGTGCAGAGGGCAGGTCTCCCTCACACACGTGCAGAGGGCGTGTCTCCATTCCATACACACATGTGCACAGGGTGGGTCTCTGCATGCACACGCGTGTGCAAGTGCAGCTTATGCTCCTGGATGCACCTACCAGGTGAGCCACTCCCACCGCGGCTGCAGGCCTGCAGGCCACCAGGTGGCAGTGTCGGGCCGGCAAACGGCCCCTCCTGGCTCTGCGGCGCGCCTGACCGGGCCCCTGCTCCCTGCCAGGCCTGGAAGCCCCAAGGCGGCCCCCAGCTTAGACCGGGAAAAGCCGTTACTCGCACAGAGCTCTAGACATCCAGGGTAACCTATAGCCAAGTGCGAAGTCAAGATGTTTGGCTTCTAAACTGACAGTGAATTTGTTTCTCTGGTTTTGAATTATGGGGGCCACAGCGGGCAGTGCTCAGTGGGGCAGTCTGTGCCATGGTGGACTGGGGGTCCCCACCCGACCCTGCTCTGCTGTGTGAGCCGCTGCCCCAGGTCTGATGGACGGACCCCCCTTTCCTCCGTCCCACGCTCAGCCCAGCAGGGACCACCCACCCTCCTCTCCTTCCGTGGGCTTGGGGGCCCCAAGGCAGAGGGAGGCGCATCCACTTCCGGCCTGTGTTCTGACGGGAATGGGCAGAGCTGGTCTTGTCCCAAGTCCTCCGCTTCCAAAGGGGCCAGAGGGTGGGCTCACCCAGATAGCCCCCGCCCTCTGCCTGCTCCCCCTCGGACCCCAGTCCGGCTCCGCCTGGCACCCCCAACCCATCCTCATCTTTCCAGCTCTGCGGGCAGGCACTCACCACCAGGGTCTGGAGGGTGTCGACGCGAAAGGGACGTTTCCCCAGCTGGTGGTTCTGAGGCTGCAGGTGAGATTTGCAGAGGAAGTCAGACGGCTCGAGTTAGCGTTTACTGTATACACGTGAGCACATTCCGATATATCTCACACACACACGCATGCCACCATGTACATGTGCACACGTGGGCCTAACCTGTGTATACAATATCAGCAATACGTGTAGGGCTATCCATTACCTTGGCGGAGTAAGAACTATTCTCACACACAGAGGTCCGGCAGCCGCCACTCAGCACCTCAGGGACGCAGGGCAGGAGCCTCCATCTGCTGGGCTGGCCATCATCAGGGTCCAAGAAGGCCGAGGGGCCCGGGGCAGGAGGCCGCTGCCCCATCCCTGGCAGGTGTGCGTTGGCAGCAATCTCAAAGCCCCTTGTCGTCACAGCCAGAAACTCTGCTGCAGCACCATCGCTGTGTCCGAGGGGGAGAACAGCCAGAGGCTCAGATAACCTGTGGCCCAGATCGGCACTCAGCACCCAAGGGACCTGCAGGGCACACACCTGCACTCCAGGACATGTAAGGACACCTCTGCCCGCCCTGTCCCACCCCGCGGCCCAGCCAACTGCACGCGCCCTGCAGGAAGGTCATTTCCCAACCAGCCCGGCTGGGCCGCTGTCCCAGGCCCGGTGAGACACGCCCTCCGGGTGCTCGGGCACCGCGTGCCCTTCTCCAGCTCTTGGCTTCGTGGTTTGCACTCTGCTCTTCCTTCCGGGGGCTGGGGGCCTGGGCCCGAGTCCCGGGAGGACCTGTCCCACACAGAAGCAGCTGTGCTGTCCCCGGGCTCGGCGACCGAGGGAGACACGTGAGAGTCTTCTGTGCAAAACTGAGAACCCTCCCGGGCAGTCCAATATCAGGTTTCCTTGCACTGCCTCTTTTGTGCTTGTCTGTTGCTTGGTTTTGTTTGGGGGCCACACCCAGCAGTGCTGAGGTAGGACCCCTGGCTCTGCTCCAGGGATCACTCCTGGGGGGCCGGGAGGACCCCAGGAGCGCTGGGGATCGAATCCAGTCGGCTGCGTACAGGGCAAGCGCCTTGCAGAGTCCTGTCGCTGCAGCCCATGCACTGAGCCAGGGCCACGCCTCCACCTTCTCTGCACTGAGGCTCGAGTCCTCTGCGCAGCTGGGCCCGGGGGAGCGCAGAGCTGGGAGCTGCCGAGGACGCATGTCACCCCCGAGAACTCCCAGGAGAATCCCCCAGATCCCGCTAGAACGGGACGCAGCCCGCCGGACAGAGCCCCTCCCTCCTGAGTGCGGGCAGCTGGACGCAGAGATGGTGCGAAGGGGACAGGTGTCCACCCCCCACTTCATGGTCCCGGGCACCACCAGGACCAACCCTTGAGTGAGGCTGTGAAGGCCCCAAACCCAAAATAAATAAAAATGACAACTTTCAAAAACTCTGATAGAAATCCTGACTCTTCCGGGCCTGGGAAATGGGGCAGCAGGGGACACTGGCCTGGGTGCAGTGACCCCCGCGGGGGCTGTAGGGGTCCCTGGAGCTGCAGGTCCAGCAGGAGGACCCCATGCTCGGCCCCTGGCACTCCACCCTCCCAAGGGCTGGCTAAGAATCTCCAGGGGGGCCTCAGACAGCCGGAGCACTGCGGGACCCCTCCCCGGCTGAGCCCTCTGGCTTGACTGAGATGCCATGGGCGTGACTGTGGCTGGGGCCGGGGCCAGCTCTGCTGTGTGTGGCGTGGAGCCGCTGCCCCAGGACAGGGCCCTGGGCGAGGGGGAGGGTGCGAGTGTGCCCACCCTGCTGCCCCGCGTGGTCCCGTGCAGAGGCCCCGGCCACTCTTGGGCTTGGGTCACATTCATGGCCCGCGGTCACGTTCACGGCCCACGCGCCAGGGCCCGGGGCTCGTCCAGCCACTCTGCTGACCGGTGGAGGGGCTCGTGGTGCAGCGTGCTGACCCACGGTCCTATTTCTGCTGGGGGTGTCCAGGCCTCCAGGCTGGTGCCAGGGACCAAACTGGGCAGGCCAGGCCTGCGCCGTGACCCCGTACCACCTCCCCTGCCCGAAGCGGCCGATGCTGCGTGGCTAAGTGGCCTGATGTGGTGCTCACGGCTGAAACTCCCGGCCCCGCCCTGAGAGTGAGAGGGTCCCTGCATGGGAGGGTCCATGCTTAGGCGGCCCTGTGGCTGGGGATTCGCGCTCAGGCACCAGGAGGCTCTGCCAGGAGCACTGGCCAAGGGAAGCGGGGCAGGCAGCGCCTACAGGGGTTCCGTGGCGTGACAACGCACCCCGGGTCCTGGCTGAGCCGGGGCCTCTCTGAGCTGGGTCGGAAGCGCCCGGCTGCAGGCGTGCACGAGGCTCAGCTGCAGGGGCAAGTCCCAATGACCCTGTTGTCTGTCCTTGTGGAGCACAGGGGGGAGGCGGGGCCCCAGCTGACCGTCCATGGGGGGCCGGATAAGGGCTGACACTCGTGCTAATCCTCTCTCCCGTGGCCACTCCGACAGCCCCCAAGCCAAACCCCAGCACCCGAGTGACCCAGGCCAGACTCGGCAAACCTGCCTGGCCAAGCGGCGGCAGGCTGACCTCTGACCGGGGCCTCCCTGGGCATTGTCCAGCAGCGGCTGGCTGACACCGGGGCTGCCCCGAGCCCTGGGAGCAGCAGCTGAGTAGGACCCGGAGGCTGCGTGGGTAGGGCGCTGGCCAGCCGGCACCAGCCTCTGCTGCCAGACAGCCTCCGGGGTCCCGCGACCACACCTGGATCCTGGCAGCTTTAAGCCCCGTGTGTCGGCCAACGGGGAGTGCGCCTGTGCCAGTCTGATGGGGGCCGCGAGGGCTGCGGTGCCGCGTGGGTGCCAGGTTCCTCTCGGAAGGGTTAGTCACCGCTCATTAGCATCTCATTAGCATCTCATTAGCATCTCCTCCTGACACGAGCACTGTGTCCTTGGCTCTGGCATGTCACATGCGACGGTGAGAGCACGCCATGCGGTGGCTGCTACCACGGCGGGCACCTCCCAGCAGGGATGGGGAGGCAGCGGCCCCATCTGGGGTGTCACGCCGGGGGCTGGTCAGCCTTCCTTCCCCGGCCACGCTGGACAGCGAGGACCACGGTAGGAACAGGCAGGGTCCCACTCACCGGCAGGGACAGGCATGGGTCACCCTGGGGGCCCAGTGCCACTGGGGAAGACCAGCAGGGCCGGGCCAGGCTCAAGGACTGAAACGGCTGGGCCTGGGGTCTCCGTCCAGGACCCCATCACAGCAGACAGGGGCCGAGGGCAGGCAGGTGCGTGGCCAGCAGCAGCTCGCGGACCCGAGTCGGGACCAACTGGGGTCACTGCACAGCGTGTGCAGCTCCTCACCCTGGGCCGCCCCATGGGGCCGGGGGCCGGGAGGCCAGCTCCACACTCCCCCGAAGACCCACCTCCAGCACGGTGCCCGCTGCCTCTCCCAGTGGTGAGGGACGGACGTGCTGAGGGGCCGGGCAAAGTTCAGGGAAAGTCCAGAAGGTTCAGCAGACACAACAAACACTCGCCACGCTCGCATGACAAATATCGCAACGATTTATTTATTGCCTTGAGGTCAGCACTTCGGCACATGCGCTGCAGGAAAACGGCCTCTCCAGACAGGAAAGAGACGCGTGTGGGCCCGCGGCCGGCGGTCTGAGGGGCTAACACTCACACACTCTGTTCTGTGTCTCGGGAGAGACCCTGACAGGCCACACACATCACTGCAGAGAAAAACCAAAACCGGAGTCAGGGAGTCGCGGGCATCACGGGAGCCCCTAGAAGAGAAGTGGAACGCTGCATCTGGTGAGGCTGCGGGGGGGGGGGGGGGGCTCCCTGCGGTCTCTATAAAAATAGTCTGTTAGCAAAACTAGCAGCCCGCAGCCGGGCGGCTCCTGAGGACGGCGGCGACGGGGGTCCCGCGGGCCGGCCGTCCCTGCCGGGGCTGGCGCTGCATCCTCACCCTATGTCGTCTTCTTAGCGAACCTGGAGAGCGACAGAGAAAGGCGATGAGAAGCTGGGGCCCGCGCACCCCCACCCCCGGAGCGGGAGCCCTGCCCTGCAGCGTTTGGGCCCCTCAGCTGGTCTGCGAGCCGAGCCGGCTCCCAACGGCTGATGTGCAGACACAGACACCCCCGCCCTGCCACAGCTCTCGGCGCTGAGGTCAGATCCCGCCCCGAGTGCTCGGAGCGAAGAGCGGGCAGCCGGGACGTGCTTACTCGTATTTGATCAGCCGGGTCCCCTGGGCCAGCTGTGCGACCTCGTTCGTGGCGTGGCAGGCCAGGAGCAGCCAGTTCCGGGGCTGGACCTTGTAGGCGAATCTCATGAAGGCCAGGGAGTAGCAGCAGAGGGCTGCAAGAGAAACGCGACCCGCTCGGGACCCGCCACGGCCAGGCCTGTCCGGCTCAGGGCCTCGGCAGCGATGGCTCCGGCTGCCGGGAAAATGGGCACCCACGCGGGAGAGCCGCAGGAGTCGGAGCCGGCAGAGAAAGGCGGGCCACGGCCGGTGGGTTCCGTCCCCTCTCCCCAGTGTCTGGGCGAGCGGCCTCCAGAGGCCCAGACCTGAGACTCTCGCAGCCCCGGACGGGGCCCCCTGCTCCCGCAGCGCCCACATCTGGCCCTCCTCATGCTGCTGAGGGGCCAACGCGAGCCCGCGGGCCCCGGGACCACACCACACCGCGTCCTTACCAAATGTCATCCGCCCGCTGATGATCTCCGGGGACTTTTTCATGTCATTGATGGCGGCAATGGGAAGACCCCAGTTGGCGACCGGGCCCCAAAAGTGCTGTGAAGAAGGGCGGAGGGAGAGAAGGAGGAAAGTGAGCGCCTGGCCCCAGAGGCGGGCCGGGTGGGGAGGCCCCGGGTCTGCCGGGGGAGGCCCCTGGGCATCGGCACTGAGTCAGCAGGTGTCAGGCAGCCACCTGGTACTTTTCCAGAGTCCACCCCGTGAAGTAACCTGTTTGCCGTGTTCAGAGGATCTGGGAGTGAAATGAGCCAATTACACAATTCACTCCCTCCGGCAACAACTAACGCCTCCACGGAAGACTCTGTGCTGTGACCTTGACACCGGAAGGTGTTCCCAACCATTCCCAAGACACCCAGCTGCCTACACTGGGACTTTCATCTGAGAAAGGACCTTAATAAGGGAAAAAACGGCCGAGGGACTCTACGACCAGGCCCCCAGGTGCCAGGAAACTTAAGACTGAAAGACAGGTGTGAACTAGTGGCAATGACTTTGAACAACTGGGTCAAGGGTTTTTCATGCTAAGCCAGCACCGGCCCTCTGTGGCCAAGCGTCCCTGTAAGAGGAATAAAGGCGCCACCCGAGGGGGCCCAGACAGAAGCCGGGCCACGTCTCTAGGTCGCTGATGTGCAGCTCCCAGGAAAGCACCCACGGCGGCCAACACAAAAGGGCCCCTCACACACCCGGAGGGAAGAAACTAACAGGGGCCGGTCACTGACGTCCCACGACTGCCATGAGACGGGGAACAGGAGCGGAGTCATGGCTGGCCGGTGCTCGGGGACTTGTGTCAGGGAATGCCGTGTGGGTGCGGCGCTCGCAGGTTTGTGGCGGCTCTGGGCGTCTGGACCCCTGTTGCATTCTGAGCGGGACAGCGGCTCGTGTCCAGGGCCTGGGTCACTCTCCCTCTCTGGGTCCCCTCCCTGGAGCTGCTCTGCCGGGCTCTCCCGAGGGTGGGCAGCCCAGAGCGCCCCTGAAACAAGGCTGGTCTGGAGTGCGGGGCCACAGGCGCTGCCCGGTACCGTGGGGGAACCACAGCCCCCCGGGCTACACGTCCCAGGCTCCTCAGAAGGCGAGAGGTGAGGGCTAAGAGAGCCCAGGGGAGGGACCATCAGGAGGGACAGGAGACACCAGACACCCGCCTGGCACCTGCCAGCACGAGCGAGGGGACGGGAACCAGCTTCTTACCGTGCTGCTCGCGAGGCATCCCCAGGGTCAGGCAGGCAGGCATGGAAGGAAGAAGGAGAAAATGAGACGCTTTCAGAGATCTTGGGGCGACATGTGTCTGCCCGCCCCTGCCCCGCCGGGGTCCAGGTGCCACAGCACAGCCCTCAGCTGCCCGGCCACCGGGAAGGTTCTGCCGGGTTCTCGGCATGACTCTGACCACATGACGGTCACTCAGGAACATGTGCGATCCCCAGAGCAGAAATGCCGCTAGGACGGAGGCCAGACAGCACCACACACGTGACGAGGACACTCGAGAGCCACGGTCACAAAAGCAAAGTCACCCACAGCGACACAAGCTACAGACGGCCGCCGGGTTCAGTTTACTGACTCCAGCACACCCCAACACTTCCGCCTGCTCCGTACCCTACACGTGCACCCTGCGGAGGATGGGGGGAGGGGCACGCAAGACACTGCATTTACCGCAGGAACCCACAACCCGAGGAGAAAATATCACAAAAACTCTTCTACCACTTCTCTTTAAAACTGCCTGATGACTGCCACATACAAACTATAATTTGGGGCCAATAGCATGAAACTGCAGGTTGACTTCAGGTTGACCTTGCTACCCGTGATGTATTCAATATGCCAAACACAGTAACAATTGTCACAATGGAGACATTACTGGGCCGGCTGGAGCAAATTGATGAACAACAGGAGGACAGTGACAGTGACAGCATGAAACTACATCAAAACACCCTTGATTGCTCCCTTTTTTTTTAAACGCTGCCTTTGTTTAATTTCAGTACGAGCCCTGCCCACTGTACTAACTAACTCTCCAGCCCTAAAGTTTATCTTGAGGTCATAAACTTATTAAGGGCTTCCCTGGTTGAGAGCTACGCTGGCTGCTCAGCTGGGAACTGGCGACAGCAGACACAGTGGGGTCCTGAGGGGCTGGTCCCTGGGGACCGTATGGGGTGCCGGAATCGAACCCAGATCAGCTGGTAAAGCAGCCCTCCCGGCTGCAGCACTGCCCCAGCCCCCCTTCCTTGTCCCGCCACGGCTGACGGGAACTGCCGACGTGAACAGGTGCACCCAGAGGCGTTCACAGCCCGCTGGAGACCCCGGGCCTGGCTCCCCCCAGGACACCCCGCGAGGTGGGCATCTAGTAAACACGGTCCCAGGTCCAACCCAAAGCATTCCTCTCCATCCTCATCTTTCTCGCACCAAAGTCCGGGAGAGAAAATGGGAGGAGAAAAAGCAAAAATAATTTTTTACTTCATCAAGAAAGAATGTGAAAAAAGGGATCTCGATTCAAAGCTCTTACCAGGTCGGAAGAATCCGATCAGAAGAGATGGAAGGTCCCAGGGCCAGTCCGAGAACCCAGGGGCTCAGTGACTGCTTGGTAGCAATCGAAGATAAATCAAAGGGCCCACAGGGCAGGACGGGCCGTGCCTAGCACGCAGGGGACGGACGGGGCTGTGACCCGCAGGTCCCCACATGGCCCCCAGCACACTGGTGTGGCCCCCAAACCAAAACACAGGCTCGGGCTGGAGCGACAGCACAGCGGGGGGGCGTCTGCCCTGCACGCGGCCGACCCGGGTTCGATCCCCGCATCCCATAGGGTCCCCGAGCGCCGCCAGGAGCGATGCCCGAGTGCAGAGCCAGGAGGGACCCCCGAGCCCCGCCGGCTGTGACCCCCAAAGGCCAGGTCTGGGCGCCCGAGGCGGGGGGCACTCCCGGGGCTGGCCCGGGGCGCCCGCAGCCCGCAGCCCCCGCCCCGCTCGCCCGCCGAGGCTGCCCCGGCCCAGCCTGACCTTCGCCGGGTCCCGCCCGCCCGCCCGCGGCCAGAGCAGGGGCCAGTGTCCGGCAGGCGGGCGAGGTGACGGCACAGACGCCGGGGCGCGGGGCTGACCGGGGGGGCCCGGGACGCGGGCGGGGGGCGGCCCAGGCCCCCAGCGCGCCAGGTGCGACCCCCGCGCGGGGACCCGCCGGCGGGAGGTCACGGGGCGCGGGCACGACCCGGACGCTGCGGGGCCTTGCGGGGCCACCGCGGGCACCCGGGACGCGCCGCCCACCGGGACCCCCGCCCCGCGCCCCCGGCCCGGCCCGCACCTGAGCAGGTAGTCCCGGAAGTCCTTGCTGCGCAGGTACTCGACGGCCTTCCGCGCCACCGCGCCCGCCATGGCCGCGCCGGACTCCGCGCCCGCCGCCGTCCCCGCCGCAGACGCCCCGCGCCGCCGCCCGCCCGCCCGCCGGGCCCCTCGCGACAGCGCGGCCCCGCCTGACGGCCGCCCGCCCGCGCCCAATGGGAGGCCGCGGGGCGCGGGCCGGCGGCGCGGATTGGCTCGCGCGGGCCGCACACCTCCGCCCCGCCCCCCGGGGCGCGCCGCCCGCCCCGCCCGCGGCCGTAAAGCGCGCGGCGCGCGGCGGCGATTGGCTGCCGGCTGCTAGGCGACCGCCGCGGGGCGGGGCGGGGCCGAGCGGGGGCGGGGCGGCGCCCGCGGGGGGGCGGGGCCCGGGCGCGCCCCAAGGGCACCTTGGGCGGCGGGCGCTCCTGAGCGGGGGTCCGAGCGGGCCCGTCCCCTCGGCCCGGGCGGCGCGGTGCGGGCCCCCCAGTGCCCCGGGCCCGGCCGGGCGTGCGGCTGCACGGAGCGGGGACTGTGGCCCGGGGCTGGGGGCGGCCTTGGGGTGGGCTTAGGGCGGCCCTAGGGGGGCGACCGCCCCGGGAGCCTGCCCGGTTTGCGGACCGAAGGGGCTTTGTTAACCCGCGGGGGCCTCCGAGCCACCCGCAGCCCCGAGCCCGCGCTCCTGCAAGACCCCCGCCTGCAAGGCTGTTCCCAGACGGTTTTGGCACCAGCCCCACCCCCACCCCCGTGACCTCCACCGAGGTCCCTGTTTTTTCTCTCTCTGTCTCTCCTGCTTGCTTGCTTGCTTGCTTGCTCTCTTTCTCTCTTTTTCTTCCTTCCTTCCTTTTCCGTTTTTGGGCCACGCCTGGCAGTGCTCAGGAATCACTCCTGGCAGCACTTGGGGGACCCTCCCGGGTGCTGGGGTTGGGACCCGGGTGGGTTGCCCACGTGCAGGGCAGGTGCCCTCCGCACTGTGCCAACGCGGGGCCCCAGGGGAAGTCTTTGCGCCCGCATAGGCGGTTGGCAGCCCCACGCGGCTCTCCTCCAGCCAGGCAAGCCAGCGTGATTTTGTACCAAGCCAGGCGCTCCAGGTGAGCTTTGAACACCTAAACCCCTTCCTTTGCTTGGCAGCTGAACAATGTCAGCTACTTTGTCGAAGGTCAGGTTCTTCTCGGGCTGTTCTCGGGGTGTCCTGTCGCTGCGTTCCTGTGTCCTTGGAGTGTCGCATCCTGTTCCTCAGCGGGTTTTCCAGCCGCCTGATTTCTCTGCTGACTCAGAGCACACAGAGCTTTGCCCCGCAGAAGCCCTCTGGCCCCAGCAGCCCAGAACCCGTTTTGGGGTGCCCCTGGCATCCTGCGTCACTGCTTGAGGCCCGGAGGGAGGACAGACAAGGGCATGGGCAGGCACCTATCCGCTGCAGGTGACGGAGGCGTGGACACACGGTGCCCGCAGTGTATGTCTGTCAGCCGGCCTTGCCAGGGACACAGTGGGGCCGCTGGTGGGGACGGGTTGGGCAAGGACAAGCCCCAGCGGGTAGCACCCAGAGCGCGCGCTGGCCAGCAGTGACAACGAGCCCCTGTGCCCCTACACCCGGCCCCACGGTACCCTCTTCCCCCGATTGAGTACAGAGCCAGGGGCCAAGCTGCAGAGTGTGGCCCCCAAACAAACAAAAACACCCCAAAACACTTTCTTGATTTCGTGTCAAATGTTGCAACCCACGCAGGATCTCGGGCTGTGGACATCCCCCGCCTGGCTCTCAGCCTGCGTCTGCAGCCCACCCAGTGCGTTCAGTGACTCGGGGCTCCGGGCCGCCAAGCTGCCCCTTCCGGCTGGAGGCCTCTGTCGGATTCCACTGGGCCCACAGTTGTAAGAAACAGGTTCACACACACGTTTCCCTGATGACACCGAAAAGTTTTCCAAAATGGGCTGAATCCCAGACTGGAAATCATTTTCCTTTAGCACTTTGCATTCTCATAAAAAAAAAAAACTGTCCTTGGGGAAAAATCACTTTTCAGAGAATAATTTACTCTGAAGCAAAAGCATTTCCGCTTCTGCATTGCATCAGCGCAGGTGAAGTAAACTCGCCCACTTTTGCCGACTCTGCACTCAAAGGTCAGGCGGCCGACGCAGGACCCAGGGACCCGGGGGCAGCTGGACAGCTCGTTTCCAAGAACTGTGGGTCAGTGCCCCTGGCTCGAGCCTGGGAAGCACAGGCCTGCACTGTCTGCCAGCCGGGCCGGGGGAAAGGAGAGGTCGCACTGGGCGTGCTGGCTCGTGTGGGTCGGAGAGCCACGAGCTTCACACTTGTGTGTCAGACGCACGCCTGCGGGGCACTGCCCCGACTGACTTCAGTCACCATCACTGTCCAGGCTCGTGGGGTGGGGCGCACGTCCCGGGAGTGACCAGCCCGCGGGACAGCAGCCTGGGCCTCTCCCCACACCACAGCCCCTCCTCGCATCCCCCCTGGGTGGTCAGGGGGACTGGGCCTTTCTCCCGACTCCTCCGTGCTCCAAGCCCTGAAACAGTGGATTCCTGCTCCCAGGACACGACGGTGGGCCAGACGCGACTCCCTTGCTCTGTGCTCTCCGGGCTCACTCCTACCGACCAGGCCGGTGGGAAGGCGCCAAGGGAACGGGCAGCGGCTCCTGTTCAGTCCGGCTCTTCCCCTGCTTGCTGGGGGTCAGGTGGAGCCTCTGGGGAAAGGGGGTCCTCCCTCAGGCTGGACACCAGAGAAGGGGGCGGCAACTGGGAGGGAGAGTCCCGTGTGTGCGAGTATGTGTCAGTGTGTGCCAGTGCATTAGTGTGTGCAAGTGTGTTAGTGTGTGCCAATGTTTGTGTGCTTGTGAATATGTATCCATGTGTGCATGTGTTGTTTTGTGCATGTTAGTGTGTGCACGTGTGTTAGTGTGTGCAAGTGTGATAGTGTGTGCATGTGTTAGTGTGTGCAAGTCTCTTAGTGCATGAAGGTATGTTTGTGTGTGCATATGTATTGACATCTTATCAAAGCATCTTTTTATGATATCTCATTATCTCATTCCTACTCTGGACAAACTTGCAGGCTATCGAATGTAGCCTGCCCACAGGGCAGAGTCTGGCAAACTCCCCGTGGCGCACCAAATATGCCAAATACCAGTAACAATGATGGGTCTCATTCTCCTAAAAAGCCTTGAATATAATCTCAGGGCTAGGATGAAAGAGACGTTACTGGGGCCTGCTCGAAGAAATCGACGATTAACAGGATGATGAATGTGTTAGTGTGTGCATGTGCGTTCGTGTGTATGGTGGGGACAGGAAATCCCACATTACTTCCTTCTGGGCCGCAGGCTCCGGTTGTGAGAAGCGGCCACGTAGGAGCAGCCTCATCTGGGGGCTGCTTCAGCCAACGCTGCCCCCCACCGCCCCCACAGCGACGAGTCAGCTGTGGACTGTGCCACTGAAGCCCTGCGGGTGGATGGTGGAGGGGGGAGGTGTGTGGACTCACTGCGCCTGATGTCACCACGGGGCTCAGACCAGCAGATGTGGGTCTCCCATGCTGTGGACGGGGTGTCTGGGGTCCCGGGAGCCACTAGTGTTTCCCGTTGGTCAGTGAAGGGGCTTCTGGGGCTGGCAGGGGCCCCCGATTCCCACCCGGACACTTGTCTCTTCCTCTCCCGCTCCGAGTCGCTGCTGTTCTGGGGGCAGGTCCTGGCCCTGCCAGGGGGTGGGGCGGGCGCAGAGCCCTCAGGCTGGCCCCGTTTAACTCGGGGCTCTGGGTTCCACCAGTGGGGCCAGGGGGTCACGGCTCTCAGTGACCAGAGCCCCCAGACACAACCTGGTTGAGAACGGGGTCGATGCATGCAGGTCTCACGGCACAGCACAAGGGACCCCCAAAGGCTACTGTGCGTGGAAGCGGCTGGGGTCCTGTGGCAGTGGGGGTCTGGGTCGGGGGTCAGGGCACTCACCGGCAGGCTGATCGCAGAGGGGCTTAGGGTCCCCATGCTACCCCCCGGCCTTTCAGTAACATGGAGCCTCTCCAGCTCGGGCCCTGGGGACAGACGGGCTGCAACCTCGAGGCGCCCCCAAGCTCCTCCACGCCCAGCCCGGCTCGGCCCTACCTCCACCCGGACTCGGCCCTGGACTCCTTTCAGCATGAAGGATCTGGAGCAAGTGATGCTGCGGCTCACGGCCATCAGGCTGGCAGTGAGGGGCACGGGCCGAGGGCCTGAGCCACCCCGCCTGAGCCACCAAGGCGCGGCAGTGGCTGCCGGGCAGCAGGAGGCCACGCGGCTGCGGCTGCTCCTGCCAGATGCCCCCGTGCTCGGGTTCGTGCTGGACGACGGGCCCTGAGGCCAGGCCAGGCCAGTCAGGGCTGCCCTGTCCACGCAGGACCCCGCTGTGTACTGCCCCCTGCCAGTGCTCCCAGCGTCCCGCACTCCTGGGCTTTGCGTGGGTCCACACACACGGCAGCCTCATGTGCACACACGCATATGCATTCCACACGCATAGTCAGTACATGTTCACACACAGAACATCCATGTACAAGTACCCATGCACAGACCACATATACACACGTTCGTGCACCACTCACATACCCACAAGCACACCACACATACGTGTACACAGACATGCAAGACCACACACACGTGCACACCACATACTGCATACTTTCATGCATGCCGTTATGTGCACACAGACACCACACATACAGAGCACACGCATGTTCACACACGTGCTCACACGCCGTAATCCCACAGGCACACGAGAACACGAGAATGCACGCACGACACTCTGGTGTCTGACGATGGATGTGCGTCCCCGGCAGCAGGGGGGCCCTGGTATAGCAGAGGGGGGTCCCGGGGTGCTCTGCAGACCCTCCTTGTAAGGAATATAAGCCCCCGAGTCTGCTGCTAAGCTAGGAGAGGTCACGCTTCAGAAAACCCATGTTTATTCAAAAAAATCTAGTCAAAGTCGGAAAGCATAATAAATATCTGTACAGAGGCTGCATACGTCAGACAAACCGGAAAAGCATGACGGGCGGCGCGGGGCGTGGGCGGGGCCAGCCTGGGGGTGCGAGGGGGGTCCGGCTGCTCCGGCCACGCAGGTCCTTCTGTCCCCTGGGCAGCGGCCCGAGGGGGCCAAGGGCAAGTCGGCCACGTGGGCAGCGGGGGCAGGTGCGCCCAGGGGCAAATGGCACGTGGCCTGGGAAACACGTCTCGTCAGCCGTACTCGCCGGGGCGGGTGTGGACGGGCCCCAGAAGGCTGGACCCAGCGCGTGCGGCTGGCCAGGCAGGGGCCCTCCCTTCCTCACGGTCCCACGCTGGCCAGCAACTCCCTACAATGGGCGCCCAGGGTGGACGCTCAGGGAGCCAGGGCTGAGGGTGGGCACCGGGTGCTGTCCCGGGACCTTCTGCACGGACAGAGCACGAGACCCCAGAGCTGGGCCGCCCCAGGGGGTCTGCGGGACGGTCAGTGGAGGTAGCTCAGACATCCAGGGGAGCCGGCTCAGGGCCAGCCGAGCCGGGCGGGCCCACGTCAGAGCGTGGCCAGGTCACAGCTGCCGGGAGCCCGGGTTCCGTGGAGGAGTGGAGGCTCTGCTCGGCTCAGGGCCTGCAGCCAGGACCCCCGCAGGGGCTGGAAGGGGCCTGAGGGTGGCACAGCTGGGCCCGGGTCCTGGAACAGGCTCCCGAGGGTGGCAGAGCCAGGCACCAGCTCCTGGAACAGGCCCCTCTGCACACCTGAAGCCTCACGGCCGCTGCCGGCCAGCTCAGCTTCCGGAAACACATTTTCTGTTATAAAAATGCCAGAAAGACCCCTGGGGGCGCTGAGGGAGGGGGCCGGAGGTGCCCTTCCTGCCATGGGAAGAACCTTCCAGAACTATTAAAGCTCAGAAAGCCGCGGGGGGTTAAGGTCTGAAAGCAAAGAGCCTGCGCTAAGGGTTCTTTGAGAATGTGGCACTTTGGGGTGTGAGCCGGGGGCGGACACGGAGCAGGGACCCCGGGAGCACCCGGCCACACTGGGGGCACAGTCGCGAGCACGCGGGGGAGTCGGGACACGCCTGCCCTGGCGTCCGTGCTCACACCGGGCGCCACGGCAGACGGACACGCAGCACACGGCCCCGGGCGGCTTCCGGCAGCAGCACGCCCACCTGGGCTCTTTGGATCGGCTCGGCGGAGACCCCGCTCCCCAGGACACTGGCCGGGGTGGGCACTCGGCAGGCTGCCCCGAGACAGTCCCGGGTGTGGCTGGAGCGAGCGAGGAGGCGGCGAGGTGGCGTGGGGGCGCGTCCCGGGCCGCGCACGCGTGGGCAGCTACAGGCGGGTGGACGTGAGCGTCTTCATGCCGCGGCGCCGGGCCAGGCTGGACGCATGCACGGGCTGCAGCCGCGGTGCCTGGGGGCTTCTGCTCAGGGCCAGGTAGGTGGCGGCCATGGCGCCCTGCAGACCAGGCAAGGGAGACCCCAGCCTCAGTTTCCCCACGGGGCACCAGTGGAGACCAAAAGGTCAGCAGAGGGTTCCCGGGAGGGGGGGTGGGAACAGGCACGTGGCCACCTGCTCAGTGGCCACCCGCCCTGGCCTGTGGGCCACGGCAGATGCCTGCTGGCCCAGAAGCCCAGTTCTTTTTTTTTGTTTGCTTGTTTTTTTTGTTTTTTTTTTGCTTTTTGGGTCACACCTGGCGATGCACAGGGGTTACTTCTGGCTCTGCACTCAGGAGTTACTCCTGGCGGTGCTCAGGGGACCATATGGGATGCTGGGAATCGAACTCAGGTCGGCCATATGCAAGGCAAACGCCTTACCCGCTGTGCTGTCTCTCCAGCCCCAGAAGCCCAGTTCTTAGCTCAGGCGGTACGGCTGGGCCGGGGCAGGGCCCCAGGACTGTGGGTGAGGCTGCAGGGTGCGTGTGTGTGTGTGTGTGTGTGTGAGAGAGAGAGAGAGAGAGGGGCTGCGGTGTGTGTGTGTGTGTGTGTGTGTGTGTAAAATAGAGAGAGTGCAGGGCTGCGGTGTGTGTGTGTGTGTGTCTGTGCAGGGCTGTGGGAGAGGGCGGCAGGGCTGTGGGAGGGATGGGGTGGGGAAGCAGGGCAGGACGTAGGAGGTGGAGTCAAGACTTGGGGCTACAAGGGGGGGCTGGGAGTCTGGGGGTCCTGGGGGGCACGAGGGGAAGGGCCCGCCGAGATGGGGGAGTTCTGGTGTGAGGTCGGGACTGCAGTGGATCCCGCCCCCCCATCCCGCGTCCCCCGGCACCCCACCTTGACCAGGTGCACGTCGTGCCGGCTGAGCTGGCTCTGGGGCAGCTGCTCCGCGTCCACCACCCAGGGGTGCTGCAGGACCTGCAGGGCCGTCAGACGCTGCTGCGGGTCCACGTGGAGCATCTTGGACACGACGTCCTAGAGGGAGGAGGGAGGAGGGAGGAGGGAGGACTCACGCCGGGCCCCACCCGCCCCCCAGCTCGCCGAGCCTGGAGACCCCCTGGAATCCGACAGGAAAATCACCCCAAACGGCGCCAGACCAGAGCCCCACGCCCCATCCCGGCCGGGTCGCCTGTGTCCCGTGTGCATCCACACACATGCACGCACACACACCCACGCCCACGTGCATCCACGGGCACGCCCGTGAATCAGCCCTGCGCTGGGAGTGGGCGTGGCGTCTGTGCGGAGACCCCGTCACCCGCTGGCCTGGGCCCTGGGAAGGGAACAGCGTGTGCGGGACCCGCCTCCCCACTGCGCCCCAGGGTCAAGAGACAGCCACAGCGAGAGGCGGCCACCTTCCCAAGGGACACAGGCACACAGCCAACCCACGGTGAGAGACTGGCACGGGCACCGGGCACAGGGACACTCATCTCAGCGGAGAGGAAAGTGGGAGTGTCACGGCGGCAACTCGAGGGGCCGTGCCCAGCACGGTGCGTCAGGGGTCCAAGGCAGGTGCAGCAGAGCAAGGAAGGGCCTCGCCAGGGCAGGGCACACAGCGGAGAGCAGAGGGTCCACGGGGCAGGCAGCGGGATGGGCCAGGAGTGCTGGACACGGAGGGGCAACCCGGCCCCGTGACTGTCCACACAGCCTGCCACCAGTGGGCGTGGCACCAGCTTCACGTGGCCAATCCACGGAGCCACGGGGCTCAGTGCTGGGTTTAAGGGCTGGGACTGCCCGCGAGATGAAGGGCTGGGTGGGCACGTGGGGAGACAGCACTCATGGGGTCCCCCGGGCAGGGCGATCAGGCCGCCCGACGGCGCCCAGGCCAGAGCCCCCCGAGCTGGACCCTGCGCTTCTTCTAATTCTCGCAAAGTGTCACTCGGCAGCCGAGAGGCTCCGGCCCGCCCGAGGCCCCGGGCCCGCGTGGCACTGGGCCCTGCCGGAGACTCACCTTGGCTGCGTCTGATATGGAGTCCCAGTTGCCCCCCGACAGCGCATACTTCCCATTGCTGACCCGCGCCAAGATCTCCTCAGCCGTGTCATCGGGGCCGTTGGCGAAAGGTGTGACCCTGGGGGGAGAGGTGGCTGGTCGCAGCCCGCTCCCCTGCCCCCACAGACCAGGGAAGGGCCCAGCACTCCTCCTCCTCCTCCTCCTCCTCCTCCTCCTCTTCCTCCTCCTCGGGGGCTGCACACAGGGGCCGGGGCAGCGGGCTCCCCCCTGCGCCACAACCTTTTCCTACGGCTCAGTCTACGGTGCCGTGAGCCCAGCTGCCTGTCTTCCTGGCCACGCGTGTGTCCAGGGGACTGTACTACTGGTGTCAAGATCCTGGGGACAGGGCGAGGCCAAAGAGCTGGCCCGAGTCTGCGATCAACTGTCCACTCCTGGTTCTCCAACCAATCGGATTTTTTGGGGGGTGGGGAGTTTGGTTTTAGTCTGGATGTGCTCAGGACACACTCCTGGGCTCTGTGCTCTGGGCTGACTCCCGGCTCTGTGCTCAGGACTCACTCCCAGCTCTGTGCTCAGGGCTCATTCCCGGCTCTGTGCTCAGGGCTCACTCCCGGCTCTGTGCTCGGGGCTCACTGCACGCAGCTGCTGGGATCAAACCCAGGTCGGCTGCATGCAAGGCAAGTGTCCCCCAAATCCAAATCCCCCAAATCTTTAGCCCCAAATCCAGTCTCTGAGTCTCTGGCGTCAGTGGGTCGAGCGCCCTCTAGGTGAGCAGAGACTCCAGCAGGCCAGGCCGCGTTAGGAGCCCACGGGCGCAGGCCTCTGAGCGCTCACAATACCGGGACAGCTGTGACGCCCAGCCCCCAGGAGGACAGCGTGGGGCCCTGTGTGGTGTCCAGCCCCCAGGAGGACAGTGTGGGGTCGCTGCCCTCACTCTGGGCCCAGGTGCCCTGTCCTTGCAGTCTACTCTGCGAGGGAGCAAGTGGACAGTGCTAGTGAGGCCTCTTCTCTCTCCCAGGCTCCTGGGGTCCCTCCCAGTGTGGCAGAGGCCTCTTCTCCCTGGGAAGTCAGGGCTAGGCCCAGGGAGCAGGATGCAGCCAGGCCGTCTCCAGTGACCCCCGGGCCCCGGCAATGAGCCTGTCTGTGCGGCCCTGCCACCCCGGGCAAGTGCGTGGCCTGTGTGCTCGCGCAGGCGTGTGTGCGTGCGCGCGTGAGCGTGTCCTGGCCTCACCCCGCCAGCATGGTGTAGAGCAGGATCCCCAGGCTCCAGATGTCACAGGCCGCGTCGTAGCCTTGCCGCTTGAGGACCTGCGAGGGCCGGACAGGTCGGGGCTGGAGTTCCGGGGCTCTGGGGCCGCCCACGCGCCAGACTGGGCCGGCTCGGCAGCACCTGTGGGCGCGTCCAGCCGCGCCGAAGCAGGGCAGGCGGCCACGGCCCCCGCCACGCCCACAGCCCCTGGCGACGGCCAGCACAGGCCACGGCCGGCCGGTGGACCGGCCCTCCCCGTCCACGCGGGGCTCACCTCGGGGGCCACGAAGTTGGCCGTGTAGCAGGGCGTCATGAGCAGCCCGTTCTCCGCCCGCAGCTGCTTGGCGAACCCGAAGTCGCAGATGCGGATGGACTCGGGGTTCCCGGACTCGTCCATGTAGAGGATGTTGCTGGGCTTCAGGTCCCGATGGACCACCTGGACGGGGGTGGCGGTGAGCAAGGGCGGGGCGGGGCCACACCGAGTGGGGCGGGGCCACAGCGACTGGGGGCGGGGTCAGAACAGTGAGGGGCGGGGCCTGGGCGGAGCCACAGCGAGTGGGGCGGGGCCTGGGCAGGGCCACAGCAACTGGGGCGGGGCCTGAGCGAGCAGGGGCGGGGCCACCGCGAGGGAGGCGGGGCCTGGGCGGAGCCAGTGCAAGCAGGGGCGGGGTCACCGCGAGGGAGGCGGGGCCTGGGCGGGGCCAGAGCAAGCAGGGGCGGGGCCACCGCGAGGGAGGCGGGGCCTGGGCGGAGCCAGTGCAAGCAGGGGCGGGGCCACCGCGAGGGAGGCGGGGCCTGGGCGGGGCCAGTGCAAGCAGGGGCGGGGCCACAGCGAGGTGGGGTGCTGGGGGTCCAACAGCAAGCAGGAGGGGCCTCAGAGCGGCCCAGCTGGCGGGGCAAGGCCGCGGGCGGGGCGGGGCCGCTCCCCAGGCCCGCCTCTGGGGGTCCCGAGCGCTGCCCCCGCTGCAGGTGCGGCCTGGTCCGCAGCTCACCCCCTGCGAGTGCAGGTAGTGGATGGTGCGCGCGATGGTGCAGAGCACGGCGCTGGCCTCGCGCTCCGAGAAGCAGCGCTGCCGCAGGATGCGGTCCAGCAGCTCGCCGCCGCGCATCAGCTCGGTCACCAGGTACACCCGCTGCCCGTCGTCGTAGACCTGGGGGCACGGGCCGGGAGGGTCGGCAGGGCCTCCCACGGGCCGCGAGTGCGCCCACCGCCCCCACGGCGGCCCCGCCGGAGACCCCCGGAGGCCAGCAGGGCGCCTGACGTCCCCGCCTAGCTCTGGGATGTCACCCCCCGGCCGCTGGCCGAGGGGGCGCAGGCCAAACCATGGGTCGAGGACAGGGAACTCCCGCCTGCCCGGGCCCCGCACACGGGACGTGCCCAGCTCCCACTGCCACCCAGCCGTGTGCCCGGACTTCCTAAGTGTGATGACGCAGCCTGGGGTCCCTGGGGGGTGTCTGGGGCACTTGGCTGGGCGCTTAGGGCTCCCTCCTGGGAGCACTCGGCCCTACACAGTGTCAGGGTTCAAGCTGGGGTCAACAACATGCATTAACCCTTAAGTGAGCCCTGTTCCATCTCCCGGCCGTGGACATTGGCCGCAGTCTGGGATCCCCGACACCACGTGGCCCGAAACTCCCAGGGCGGTTTTCTGCTTTGCAGTCACGTCTGCCGCAGTGCTCAGAGATCTCTCCTGGCTCCGTGCTCAGAGACCCCTCCTGGTGGTGCTCAGGGACCACATTGGGCTCCGGGGATCGAACCTGGGCTGGCTGTGTGCCAGGCAGCAGCCTACCTGCTGCGCTGTCTCTCCAGACCTGTTTTTTGGAGTGGATCTGAGCTCGGGAGTGAGGGCTGAGGCGGCAGGACTTGCTCCCAAGCTCTGCCAGGGCTCCCCGTGCTGGGGCATCCTGCGGTCTGGGGCGGGGCTGTCCCTGCCCCCAACTGGCCCCATGCCCACTGGCTGCTGACCTCTGGTCCCGTGTGGCTGCTCTGGTCACCCTCCCCTCTGGGAAAGGCCCCCGACCTGCCCAGCGCAGCCACTGGGTCTTGCCCACCCATGCCTCCCCGTCCTCTGCGGGCACACAGATGCCCCCGGCAAGGGCGTCCAGCCCCACGTCTGGGCAGGTGCGAGGCCGGGGAGGAGAGGTGGGGGAGGGGGCGTGTGCTAACAGAGGTGGGGGCGGGGGGCTCAGGGCATAGAGCTGCTCCCACCACAGTCCCAACAAGGGGCCTGGGGGCTGCGGGTCCACTTACGTCTTTGAGGGTGATGATGTTGGGGTGCTGGCCGTACCTCAGCAGGATCTCGATCTCTTCCGAGGGGTCTCTCTTGCTCTTGTCGATGATCTGGAACAGAGGCTCCCGTGGGGCCTCCTGACGCGACCCCTCCCCCGGGCTTACAGACGCCCGCAAGGGCACAGCCAGCCCTGCAGCCCCGGGGAAGACGCACTCAGAAGGGGGCATCACCCACTGTCCACATCACACTGGCCACAGGACGTCCACCCGTCCACTGTCCAGTCACTGTGTCCACTCACTGTCCACAGTCACACTATCTTACCACACTGTCCATGGGGTGTTCACCCACTGTCCACGGTCACTGTCCACCCACTGTCCACTGGGTGTCCACCCACTGTCCATGGGGTGTCCACCCACTGTCCAGTCACTGTCCATGGGGTCCACCCACTGTTCAGTCACTGTCTATGGGGTGTCCACCCACTGTCCACTGTCCATGGGGTGTCCACCCACTGTCCAGTCACTGTCCATGGGGTCCACCCACTGTTCAGTCACTGTCTATGGGGTGTCCACCCACTGTCCACTGTCCATGGGGTGTCCACCCACTGCCCACTTTCCATGGGGTATTCACCCACTGTCCAGTCACTGTCCATGGGGTGTCCACCCACTGTCCACAATCACTGTCCACAGGGTGTCCAGTCACTGTCCATGGGGTGTCCACCTACTGTCCAGTTACTGTCCATGGGGTGTTCACCCACTGTCCAGAGTCACTGTCCATGGGGTGTCCACCCACTGTCCACAGTCACTCTCCATGGGGTCCACCCACTGTCCAGTCACTCCATGGAGTGTTCACTCACTGTCCATGATCATTGTCCATGGGGTATCCATCCGCTGTCCACGGTCACTGTTCTTGGGGTGTTCACCCGCTGTCCACAGTCACTGTCCATGGGGTGTCCACCCACTGTCCACTGGGTGTCCACTCACTGTCCACTGTCCATGGGGTATCCACCCACTGTCCATAGTCACTGTCCATGGGGTGTCACCCACTGTCCACAGCCACTGTCCATGGGGTCCACCCACCGTCCAGTCACTGTCCATGGGGTGTTCTCCCGCTGTCCACGGTCACTGTCCATGGGGTGTTCACCCGCTGTCCAGTCACTGTCCATGGGGTGTCCACCCACTGTCCATGAGGTCCACCCACCGTCCAGTCACTGTCCATGGGGTGTCCACCCACTGTCCACTGGGTCCACCCACCGTCCAGTCACTGTCCATGGGGTGTTCACCCGCTGTCCGGTCACTGTCCATGGGGTGTCCACCCACTGTCCACGGGGTCCACCCACTGTCCGGTCACTGTCCATGGGGTGTCCACCCACTGTCCACGGGGTCCACCCACCGTCCAGTCACTGTCCATGGGGTGTTCACCCGCTGTCCGGTCACTGTCCATGGGGTGTCCACCCACTGTCCACGGGTTCCACCCACCGTCCAGTCACTGTCCATGGGGTGTTCACCCGCTGTCCGCGGGGTCCACCCACCATCCAGTCACTGTCCATGGGGTGTTCACCCGCTGTCCATGGTCACTGTCCATGGGGTGTTCACCCGCTGTCCGGTCACTGTCCATGGGGTGTCCACCCACTGTCCACGGGGTCCACCCACCATCCAGTCACTGTCCATGGGGTGTTCACCCGCTGTCCATGGTCACTGTCCATGGGGTGTTCACCCGCTGTCCGGTCACTGTCCATGGGGTGTCCACCCACTGTCCACGGGGTCCACCCACCATCCAGTCACTGTCCATGGGGTGTTCACCCGCTGTCCGCAGTCACTGTCCATGGGGTGTTCACCCGCTGTCCGGTCACTGTCCATGGGGTGTCCACCCACTGTCCACGGGGTCCACCCACCATCCAGTCACTGTCCATGGGGTGTTCACCCGCTGTCCGCAGTCACTGTCCATGGGGTGTTCACCCGCTGTCCGGTCACTGTCCATGGGGTGTCCACCCACTGTCCACGGGGTCCACCCACCATCCAGTCACTGTCCATGGGGTGTTCACCCGCTGTCCGCAGTCACTGTCCATGGGGTGTCCACCCACTATCCACAGTCACATTGCCCTCAGAGTGCCCACCCGCTGTCCAGCCACTGCCCACTGGTGTCCAGTCACACTGTCCATGGCGCCCACCCGTGTCTGCGCGGCACGTGTGGGTGGGCGTTGGGGTGTCTTCAACTTTCTCCTCTTCTCCGGGGTTCGAGAATGCGGGCCCCTCCCGAGCCAGCGGCAGGGCTGCGCCCCCTGGCGGCCGGCAGCGTCTCCGCAGGGCCCCCTCCCCAGAGCCCGGCGCCCGCCTCACCTTCACCGCGTACTCGGCGTCGCTGGCCTTGTGCACGCAGCGCTTGCACACGGAGTAGGCGCCCACGCCAATGTCCTCGCCCACCTCGTAGCCGTCCGTGAAGAGGACGTTGTTCCCGTGCAGCTGCTGCGGGAGGCGGGAGAGCAAAGCGGGGCTGGTCCGCAGCGCGTGGACGCGTAGCTCCTGCCCCCGGAGCGCCGGCCGGGGGAGGGGCCCGGGGTTACCTGCACGATGGGGTGCACGGCCGCCCGGTGTGCGTCCTGCTGGGACAGGTCCTGGACCAGGCTCGAGGCCACGAAGCTGAACCCTCGGAACAGATGGTGTGCGTTGGCGCTGGGGGGCACGCCCGGGGAGTCTGGGGGGAAGAGGGAGCCTCCTCAGGAGCAGCCCGGCCACTGGACAGCAGGGGCGCGCGCACGGGAAGTGTCCCCTGAGAGGGCTGCGTGCACGTTACTGGATGCGCAGGGGAGGCATGTGTGCACACGCGTGAGGCGAGTGTGCAGCACGCGTGTGCAATGCGTGTGCAGTGTGCACACATGAGGTATGTGCAAACGTGTGCAGGTATCAGGCATGTGCACTTGCACGTGGGTGTGCGTGCATGTTTACCTGTGAGGCACGTATACGCACACACAAATGTGCGGAGTGCCTGTGCACATGTGAAGTGTGCAAGAGACGTGCACATACGAGGCATGTGAAGAATGTGCACGTGCGACACACGTGAGGTGTGCTTGCACGCAAGGCACGTGTGCAGGAAGCGAAGGATGAGCATGTATGTGTGTGTGTTGGGGCGGTACAACAGATGTGGGAATGCTGAGCCCCTGGAAACTCCCCTTTGGGGTGACATCGATGGATCGTTTTGGGGTGCTTGGGGAGGGAGCCAGGGCGCCCTCAAGCCAAGCTGTGCTGCACCCCAGAGGGGGCAAAGTGCCCAGGGGTTGGGGTCCACACGAGCAGGTGTGGAGCCTGTTTCCCATCCCGGGCACCTCGTGAAAAGCCCATGGCTTGGGCTGGCCCGTGCGCTCTAGTCAGTAACTCAGGGCTGCGGGAGGTCAAGGGGTCCGGGAAGACCTGACATTTCCACGAGGACGTTCTCAGGCAACAGCACAGACTCCAGCCCTCAAACCACCAGAACTGGATGGGCAGCGAGCCTGGGACAGCTTGGCGGGCATTTCCGCGGAGGACACCCAAGGCGGCAGCTGGGGTTCCCCGATGCCCATCCCAGGCGGGCCAGAGGGGACCCTCACAGGGCCCACAGGTTTGCTTCCACGCTGCTCTGCTCACCTGTGGGGGTCCGTGCTGTGAATTCGGGGTCGAAGTGGAAGGTGTCCTCAGGCCTGCCCACGGCCGGCCTGAAGGGCGGCGTGACCTCTCTGCGGTACAGTTTCTGCGGAGAAGCAGAGGGCACTGAGGGCGAGCAGGCCGGGCAGGCCGGAGTGCCTCGGTGCAGCTGTGCTGACCTGCACTGACGCAGTCCGCAGGGCACGGGCAGTGGGGGCAGCCCGAGCCCCCGGTCTGGTACAGCCTCAGCAACGTTTCTCCCCAGAGGCTCAGCCCCTTCACAGTGCCAGCAGGGCCTGGCCTACGTGCCATCCTCCTGGGAATGTGCAGGACTCTGCACCCACATATCCCAGAGACGGTCTGTGTGGCACCGTCTGTGGGCACTGCGTGTGGCCAGTGCCTGTGGGCAGCATCTGTGGCCACCAGGTCTGTGCACGAGGCCCGTGCTTGTGGGATGTCTGTGTTCCTGCTCCACGGACCTCCGGCACCTGCAGCCCTTCCTGCCTTTCCCTCTCAGTGAGGCGGCTGCCTCAGGGTTCTGCCCTCCCTTGGGGCTGGCAGACAGGGAAGGGGCAGACGAACTGTGTGGGTGAGGGCAGCCGGGGGCCAGCTGGGCCTGGGTGGTGGGTGCTCACTGAGTCGGCCCGAGGGCCTCTGTGCACTGGTCATCCGAGGGCCGAGGGACACGGCTTCCAGAGGGTGTGCGTGGGGCCTCCCAGTGCCCACAGAGACCCACTCCTGGCCTCTGGGCACTTCTGGTTCCACTCCTGGGAGCCTGCTCAGGGACCAATGGTGGCGCAGGTTGGTGCAGGGACCGGCTGGGCAGGTACAGGCTGGGAGTCGTGGGTCATTCCAGAGTGGGAGCAGCTTTGTGACAGGGAAACTGAGTCCCACAGGTCAAGTGCTGAGTGCAGAGGGGACCCAGGTTCTGCCCACAGCAACACCCTGTGGGGCGTTAGGTGCCCTCTGGGGCCTGGGGTGCCCTGTGGGGTATAGGGTGCGCTGTCGCCTTCACCTCGATGCCGCCAAGTACCGGTACCTGTCTACCCTCCACCTCTTACCTCACACCTGGTCACCCCCACCGTTTCCGCATCACACCGGGGAGAGTGACCGGCCTGCGGATACGACTGGGTGGGTTTGGCCAGAGCCCCAGCCCCACCCCATGGACTCCCTCACTGTCCTTCTGGTGTCGCCCCCAGCTCTGTATGCGGCCCCCGTGGGGTCTTCTCCGACTCAGCCACTGTGGGGAAGGACCTTGAAGCAGCTGGATATTGCTGTTGAGCAACTCTGGACAGGTCACAGGGTGGACCCAGGAGCACCCCACCCCTGGCCCAAGACAATGCCGGGCAGTCAGGCTGGGTGCCCATGAGTCTCTCGCTGCGTCTAGAACCATCTCTGCTCTGTCCAGTGTCCAGAACCATCTCTGCTATGTCTAGACCATCTCTGCTGTGTCTAGAACTGTGTCTGCTCCATCCTGTGTCTAGAACTCTCTCTGCTATATCTAGGACATCTCTGTTCCATGTCTAGAACTATCTCTGCTCTGTGGTGTGTCTCGAATTATCTTTGCTACATCTAGAACATCTCAGCTGTCTAGAACCCTCTCTGCTACATCTAGAATATATCTGCTGTGCCTAGAACCATCTCTGCTATGTCTAGAGCATCTCGGTTCCGTGTCTAGAACCATCTCTACCGGTGTGTCTAGAATTATCTCCATGTCTAGAACATCTCTTCCATCTAGAACCATCTCTGCTACATCTAGAACATATCTGCCGTGTCTAGAACTATCTCTGCTATGTCTAGAGCATCTCTGTTCCATGTCTAGAATATCTCTGTGTCTAGAACCATCTCTGCTCCACCCCGTGTCCAGAACTATCTCTGCTATATCTAGAGCATCTGTTCCGTGTCTAGAACCATCTCTGCTGTTCTGTATCTAGAATTATCTCCATGCCTACAACATCTCTGCTGTCTAGAACCATCTCTGCTACATCTAGAACATATCCACTGTGTCTAGAACCATCTCTGCTATGCCAAGAGCATCTCTGTTCCGTGTCTAGAACCATCTCTGCTCTCCAAGGCAGGGGGCTTCAGGCCACAGCTGTCCGGGTTGGGGGTCCCATGCTGAACTCCCAGCAGCCAGTGCAGAAGGCCTCACTCAGAGCGCCAGGGCAGTGCGCGCCCCCCACTCTCCCGCCCGCGTCACCACGTGCACTCACATTCCAGTCGATGGTGACGAAGAAGGGGTGACGCTTCAGCTCCTCCACACCGTCGAGGCCGGCTCCTGGGGGGCAGAGGGGCATCAGGCACTGGACAGCCCCTCCCGGACAACCCTGCTGCCACCTATGTCCGCCCAGTGGCCCCAGTAGGGATGGTGGGACAGGAGGGCCGGGCAGGGCGGGGTGGCTGGGGGGCCCGAGGCTGCGGCCAGGCCGGGGAAGGGGCGCAGGGCCGCGGTGGGCCGTCTAGGAGCACTGCCGGGGCCGTGTTCTCTGCTGCTCCCCGCAGGCTCAGGTGCCGGTGGGGACAGGTGTCTGACGCTCTCCCCCGGGCCGCCCAGCCCTTCCGACTCTGCCAAGTGCCCCCTCTGGATGGTGGCTGTCACACACAGGAGTCCATCGGAGCTTTAGGAGAAAGAACCGGAACCCAGAAAACCGCGCCAGTCTGCCTGGGGGAAGCAGGTAGGTTCTGGAGAAACTTGTGCTTAGTACCGTCAGTCATTGTCTGCTCTGGGGACGCTGTGACTTAGACCGATGACGGGCCCTGCTGTGTGGCTGCTCGGGCCTGACGCAGTGTCACGGGAGGAGGCCAGGCCCCAGAGCACTGAGAGAGGAGTGTGCATGGGGCAGCATGACCCTGAGCCGCTCCAGGGTGCCCGCTGCTGGTCTCTCGCCCGAGCTCTCCCGCAGGGAGCAGCGTCACTCGGGGGCCTTGAGCTGAGCCCGGGCCCCTTCCCTGCTCTGACAGTGCCAGCCCGCAGGCCGGGCAGCCTTGAGCCCTCGGAGCTGCAGGAGACCAAGGGTCCTCACCCGCCCAGGCCGTGACTCGTTCATCCCGACAGCGCGGGGCTAGTGGGCAGGACTGCCCGCCCACCCTCGGGTGTGGTCTGGGCTCGCACACAGCCCTTCCACATCCTCCCACCACCCGGGCTAGATGAATGTGGGGGACTGAGGCCCCCCTGCTGAGAAGGGACAGCTGGACGCAGGACGGCACTGGGTGGGCGGGCAGGCAGGCAGACGTCTGCGGCAGGGGCGCCTGGCTCCATGGCCTCACCCGGGCCTCGGAGGGGCAGCTGCTGCGTAACTCCGGCCTCTGGGGGTCAGAAACTGGCCTTGGGCATCAGAAGGGGGAGGCACTGCCCGGGCCCAGCCACCTGCACCCCTGCCCTCGCCTGCCCTGGAGGGGCACTTCCTGCCGGCCAGGGCGCCAGCAAGGACCCTGCAGCTCCCAGTCCTTGTGATCGATGACAACTTCTGGGGCCTCTAGGCCCTGCAGAGGCCCTCCTACCCCCCGCACCCCTGCGGCCTGGCGTCCCCCTCTCCCCACACCCCTACGGCCCAGCACCACAGCTCCACGGCTCTGGCGCAACCAGCGCTGACCCTCCAGTCCCCCAGCTCCTGGACAGCACAGCCACTCAGTGGCCACACCCATCTCGGGTCCCCCAGCGCCGACGGCCCCGGGGCTCAGCACAGCAGCCGGGCAGCAGGAGGTCAGTGGGTGAAGACGGGGCCGGGGCGGAGACAGCTGACAGCTCAGGATGCCCAGACCAGCCCAGAAACACTGGGAGGGACTCGGGCAGCGCGCAGAGCCGGTCACCCTGCTGCTGAGGGCAGGCCGGGGGCGGGGGGGGGGGGGGCGGACAGGGAACACTGGTGGCGGAAAACTGGGAACACGGTGGCAGGAAGGACACGTGGGGGGTTGGTATTAGAATGCCGAATGCACGAAACCACTGTCTGAGCACCACCTTTGCAGCAGTGTGTCGAGTTTCAGACACAAAGAAAGAGTGAGATTTTATATGATTCCCTTTTCTCCTATTTGTTTAAACCTCAACACTTTTGTTCTAGTTTTCCTCCAAAATTAAAATTCCACAGAAAACTCCATGAAAGCTTTTTTCCTGCCATCCCCGGCTGTGCTCAGAGCTCGTACCCTGGCTCGGTGCTCAGGGATGACTCCTGGGGGGCTCAGGGGAGCACTTTTGGGGCTGGGGAATCGAGCCTGGGTCCTTGCGCCCACCCTCTCTCTCGGCCCCCAAGCTGAGATCTGCAGGTGATCGATTCAAGCTGACTGCAGTGATGTTTGGGAAACTCGCGGGGGCAGGAGAGGGTTAGACCATCAGCCCACAGGACACGGACGAGTCCGGCTGGGACCCAAAGGCTCCTGTCCAGTCCCACAGCGGCGGGGGCATCTTCCCGGGAACACCCCAGCGAGGACTCCCCTGAAAAGCCCCCCAGCTTCTTACTGGGACTCGGGGAGGCGGGACAAGCTCACGTGGGTGCAAAGAAAAGAAATAAATAAGGAACTGGGTACAAAATGGATCCCTGCGCCATGAAAGCTTAGCGCTAACGTCAGGCGTTGACAGTGTCCAAGCCGTGCTCCCTGGACGGGGGAGTGGGCGGGGCAGAGCTCCTAGTGACAGCACGCATACAGGTCTCACACGTGTGCACACTCACATGCGTACACACACACACACACACACACGTGCTCACGCATCATCCTTACTCCAAAGAGAAATACTAATTTTTATGGCCTCCTCTCGGCAGCAAGTTCCAGGCGAGGGGCTGCCATAGCAAGCAGCAGGGAAGTCCCCGGGGCCTTGGGAACTGCCTCCTCTGGGGCGTCTGTCTCTCTGCTAAGTGGCTGCCGCAGCTACTCCCTGCGGCAAGGCTGTGATGCCTGCCCTGCTGTAGCTGTGCGTGGCAGTCACTCTTGATCACGGCCACCGCACGCTTTTCACGCCCAGAAGCGATGCTTTGATCCCAGCAAACCACAGAGCCAAGGGCCCAGGCCTGGGGAGCTATTGTCCCGCTGGGCTAACACTCCAACCGGTCCACCGCCACAGGGCAGTGAGAAGAATCAACTGCAGAACGGTGAAAATGCAGTGAATTGTGCTGAGCGATTTTAAGTTACGGAAGTGTTGTGTGCTGTGTACGCAAAAGCAACACTCAGGGGTGAGGGAGGGGAGGGGAGGGGGGAGGAGCTTGTAGGGAGGTGCTGCCCCCGGAAGGGGGCCCTGAGTGGGGTGAGACGCCACCCACTGGCACCCACCCGCGCATTGGGCCCCCCACTCTGGGAATCGTGCCCTGCCCAGACCCTGCTCACACAGTGGGTGCATCCCCCGGCCCCGACCCTGCCCCTACCAGGACCCCAGGGGGCTCCACTCACAGCCGGGGGTGGGCTGAGGCCTCTGGGCCCTGCAGCAGGTGTGGACGCCCTGCGCCCCGCAGCGGGCATTCCCCCCGGGATGGGCGACCCCTGCACTGAGTAGGACCCGGGGCAGCTGGCCGGGGGGAGGAGGGGGGCGATACAGAGCCCCGAGCCGTCCCGCAGGCCCTGCGGCCACCCTTACCCAGCCGGTTGCACGGGTTCCGCTTGAAGAGCGCCCTCAGCAGGCCCTGTGCCTCCGCGCTCAGGAACTGCGGCATGCCCAGCTTGGCTCTGAAAGGCGGCCAGGGAGAGGGTCTGACTCCACCCAGGCCCACCCAGGCCCTCCCGTCCCCCCACCCCCATGTGCCCTGCCCTCGGAATCTCACGTTGGAGGGCCCCTGCCTCAGCCCTGGGATCCCGTGCCTGTGGGCCCCACGGGCAGAGCCCGCCCGAGAGAGGGAAGCGGGGAGGAAGCACCCGCCGCCCCCTGCAGGCCGGGCACCTACTTGAGGATGAGGGCCATGGTCTCCTTCCTGTCCTTGCCCTGGAACGGCAGGGAGCCCGTGAGCATCTCGAACTGCGGGACACAGGGCAGTGTTGGACGCTGGCAGGGAGCCCGGCCAGCACCCTCGGGGCCCCAGGAGGGTGGTGGGGCCACGCATGGGCCACCGGGTGCCCAGGACAGGGAACACGGCGGGGGTGGGGGCTGAGCCAGGCACTGTGAGTGCCCAGGACAGGGGGGTGGGCATCCCCGGTGGCAGGGGGCATCCCCGCACGTGGGAGCCATTTGCCCGGGAAAACACGAGCACAGACAAGGGCGTGCAGGGTCGCGGGATCTGGGGTGTGGGGACTCTGCGCCCTGTGGGCACACCGGACACACACAGGCCGGCCAGCCGGCCGCTCGGACAGACGCCTCCTGACCCATCAGCCTGCCCTGCACACGGGCGGGGGAGCCCCACGCACCACGCTGCTCCCCTGCCCCAAGCCGCAGGAGGGGTCAGAGGGCAGAGGGCAGCGTGCCCCCGGAGGTGTCAGGGTCGCAGGTAAGGGGTGCCGTGCTATGGAGCGGTCGGGCCGTACCATGAGCACGCCGAAGGACCACCAGTCCGCGGTGTGCGTATGCCCGCGCCGGCTGACCACCTCGGGCGCCATGTACTCAATGGTCCCGCAGAAGGAGTAGGCCCGCTTGTCGTGGTCCACCGCCTCCTTGCTCAGCCCGAAGTCTGCGGGCGGACGGCAGGAGCACCTCACCCTAGGCCCTGCCTGAGCCGGGACCCCGGCCCACCCAGGGCACTGCAGCGGGTGGGAAGGCAGGGCACGAGGACCAAGGACAGTGAGGAGGGCCCCAGGACGGGCTGGGGAGGGGTCCCGGGGACGGATGGGGGAGGGTCCCAGGACGGATGGGGGAGGGTCCCGGGACGGGGGGGGGGAGGAGCGTCCCAGGGGTGCACGCAGGTGGCACTGTCCCTCTCACCTGTGACCCGGATGTGGCCGTCCTCATCCAGCAGGACGCTGAAAGGCAGGACTCGCTCAGACGGTGCCAGGCAGTGCAGACACCTGGCCGACGCAGCCCAGGACACAGGGCTCTGCCTGCCATGGGCCCACACAGTGGGGCAAGGGGACCCCACTCTGCCCACACACACAGCACGCCGAGGGTCAAGACCCCCCGAGCTCTGAGCCAGCTCCTGCCCCTCACCCCTGGGCGCGCCCCCAGGCCCTTGGGCTCTGCTCGGGTCCGAGCTCTGCCCCTGCCCCAGAGCCAGACCGGGCCAGGTGGGGGCTGACGGCAACAGGCGAGCCTGGGACACAGGAGGGGCTGACAGCCGTGTCCGGCCAGGCCCAGCCCCTGCTGCTGCCCGCTCTGGGGCCCAGTGCCCAGAGTCAGGGTGGGCTGGAGAGGCCTGAGGTGACCGCTGTGGGTGGGCCACCAGGGGAGGGACCCAGCCCCCTGGGTAAGAGGCGCATGGAGCACCCCTGGGGCCCCACCCGGGCACATGAGAGGGTGAGACTCGGGGCTGGCGGGCAGGTGGCGAAGAGCAGGCCTGAGGGGCCGGGCACCCTGCTGGCACCAGGGCCCTCGGGGGTCAGGGGTCACAGTGACAGAGCAGGGTCACGGGGTCACACGGAGCCTGTCAGAGCCAGGTCGGGGTGACGTCAGCATGGAGCCCCTCCGCGCGGCCCAGCGCGGCCACTGCCAAGGAGGAGCCACTTCCACTTCCCTGCCCTGACCATGACCCTGCAGGTGACAGCCACGGGGCCCACGCCTGCCCCCGGGGACCCTCCAGTGTCCAGCTGTCAGGACTCGCCCCACAGTGAGCACCAGCTGCGTCTGGCCAGCCACGGAAGCAGCTTCACACTCGGCGGTACGTGAGTGGACACTGAGGGAGGAGGCCCCGGGCCCAGGAGAAGGGGCACAGATGGACACACGTGGCCTTCCCAGCCGCCCCCCGGCAAGGCTGACCTCTCGTGGGGTTCTGGGCTGGCCAGGCCCGCCTGGGAACCCCCGAGCTGTGCCTAGGGCTCTGGGCAGGCTTGGCGCACCGTGTCCAGGGGCCGTGGGGGCCCATCTCGGAGCCACTGGCCGCCAGGTGCCCGTCCCCACCTCCCGACCCTGTTGTGCAGGAGAGGGCGCGGGGTCCCCCTGCCCCCACTCACTTCTCGGGCTTCAGGTCCCTGTAGATGATCCCCAGGCTGTGCAGGTGGTCCAGGGCCAAGGCCAGCTCGGCCAGGTAGAACTTCACGTCCTCCTCCGTGAACATCACCTGGGGAGGGGGCCGGGTCTGTCTGGGCCGCTGAGGCCGGTGCACCCAGCAACCCGCCCGGGGGGGCCCCGGGGTTGGCTGCCTCAGGTCTGCACACTCACACCTGCACGCACCTGCAATCACACACACACACACACAGCTGCACACGCATTTCACGTCACTCTCAGCAGCACTCACGTCAGACGCTCTGTCGACACGCACACACACACACCAGCTGTCCCGGGGGTCCCCTACCTCCTTGGAGAGCCGGGTGAAGAGGTCCCCCCCGCGCAGGAAGTCCAGGATCAGGTAGAGCTTCCCTTCCGTCTGGAAGGCTGCGGGGGCGGGGGTGGCATCAGCAGGGTGGGGGGCATCCGCCTGTGTCGGCCCCCTTTTGGCTCTGCGCCCGCCCGTCTCTTCTTCCTCTCGCCTCCTCGCTCTCCTCTCCTCCTCTCCCCTCCCCTCCCCTCTCTCCTCTCCTCTCCATCCCCACTCTCCATAGGTCAGTCCTGGTGTGGGGAGGGGGTCCTACTGAGCTCAGGACGGGGTCCCAGCTGGGGACGGTCCTGGGGAGGGGAGGGGGTCCTGGTCAGGGAGGGGGTCCCAGCTGGGGAGGGGGCCCGGCAGCTCCCGGGAGGGCGTGGCCGGCTCACCGTAGTGCAGCTTGACGATGAAGGGGTGGCTCACTTCGGCCAGAATGTCCCGCTCCATCTTCGACCTGACCCGGTCCCGGACTGTGGCGAGAGGCGGCGGCGTGAGTGGGGGCCTGGGGTGTGGGGACGCCAGCTCCGCTCCACGGCCACCAGCCCACGGGCAGGAACGGACCACGGCCACGCCAGCCTCTGCTCACCCCCGCGCCGTCCCCGCAACCACTGGCCCAGGAGGCGCCCTGAGCACTGGCTGCTCCCCCAGCGCTGCTGACCAGGAGCCCCTGTCACCCCTCCCTCCCGCACCCTCAGCCGGCCTCACCCTTCAGCGTCGCCTTCTTCAGCACCTTCATGGCGTAGAGCTGCCCCGCGTCTGAGCCGCGCACCTTCCGGACGAGGAACACCTGCAGAGACGGGCGCAGGGTGCTGAGGGCGTGGCCTTGATCCTCTCCTGCCGCCCCTCATGGGCTCCCTGGGAAGGGCCACACGCCCCCACAGCGACAGTGTGGGGGGGCCCTGCCTGGCGGGTTCATCTCTGCTGGCTCTGCCTTGCCGGGAGGACGTGAGGGGCAGCGTGGGTGACAGGGGCCATCTGGGGACCCAGGAACAGGCCACCAGAATCTCTTCATTCAGGCCTCTAACCACTGACTGCCCCCCACACCCGCGTGCAGCCCCTGGTATCTCGTCTTCCCCCTCAAGCTCGGCCCGGTCTGTACTTCACTCGTGCAGCCCTCACGGACTGAGGGGGGCGGGAGCCGCCAAGCCCCGGGGGCTCCACACGCCCTCGTTCCCTTCCCACAGAAAGCTGCCGACTGCTTGCTCTGGAGCCACGCTGAGTGGTGTCGGGAACGGGCAGTCCAGGGCATTCCCAAACAGCCGTCGCGTCCCTGCCTGCCAAGCTGCCCGGGCTCTAACGCGCGTCCCGCTCCCGAAAGTGGTGAGCCTGGAGCGCAAAGGCGACTGGACAGGGAGGAACATCTGTGTGTGTGTGTGTGTGTGTGTGTGTGTCCGTGTGTGTGTGTGTGTCCACGTGCAGTGCCTCCCACATGCAAGGTGTGACGGAATGCGTGTGCACACATGGGAGGTGTCCCTATGGGCACGTGTGTGCAGGTCTGAGCATGCGCACACACACACACACGCAAGCATCACAGGTGTGTGCCTGCCTGTGTGTGTGGCATGGTGAGGTGCCACAAGGGCGGTGCATGCCCGGTGCCCGCGTCTGGCCTCAGGGAGGCTGCCTGCCTCTCCGTCTGTGTCCGCACACGGTGCCCTGGCAGCTGCCGTCACGCACCTTGCCGTAGGAGCCTTGTCCCAGCACTTTCAGGAGTTCGAACTGGGACGGGTCGGCCTTCTCCGCGCCCTCCTTCACATGGTGGCTGATGGGGATCTCCTTCACGACGCCTTCCTCCTGCCAGGGAGCACTCGGTCAGCGGCTGCCCAGGGCCGGTCGTTCCCCCAGGGAGAGTGGCCCAGCCCAGCGTGTCAGTGCCCCCACAAAGAGCAGGACGGGCCAGTGCCTCCCACCCCCCGGAGTGCAGAAATGCCGTGTGGACAGGTCAGTGCCCTCACCGAGAGCAGGATGGGTCAGAGCGTGGCCACACCCATGGATGGGTCAGTGTCAGACCCACCCATGATGTGTGTTGGATGGCCCAGTCCAGCCTCCCCCGTGTGGCTCTCATGGACCCCTCTGTGCCCTCAGCGTGGGGGTCACTCGGCCAGCAGGGCCCGGAGTGTGCGGGGGCAGACCCTCTGCTCGTCCCGCCGGCCCCACCTGACTGCACCTTGGCCGACGTGCCAGGGGTCCGGGCCTGGGCGGAAGGGGCCATGCAGAGGCATGGGGGCACCACCGGGGCCACTAAGGTGTTCGGACGCACGGTCCCCTCAGCTCATGTGCTGCTCGTAGCAAGTGGAGACAACGGGACCCCGAGGGGTGGCCCAGGCCCGGCTGCCTCTGGGGGTGGCTCAGGGATGACTCCCCCTTGGTGACGGGCCTGGAGCAGCCTGGAGGACACTCTCCAGGGGGGATGACAAGGACCAGACGCCCAGGCCCCCGAGCCTGCTGGACACACCATGCAGCAAACCAGCGCGCGGCCCAGCCCCAGGCTCATGGGCCCAAAGCACAGAGGCCCGTCCCGCCGGCCACGCGGAGGAAAGGCAGGGAGCGAGATTCGGGGTCCCCGAGTTCCCTCTCAGCTCGCAGGGCTGCTCCCGACAACGGGCCACCTTCAGCTTCTCTGTCAGTGTTGGGCCGCATGCGGTGGAGCTCAGGGACCACCCCTGGTGGGGGTTTGACCAGGGCCGCCCTGCGCCTACCCAGAACCCCACTTCCCACTGGATCCCCCCGGAAACCGAGTCATTCCTGCATCTGGCGGCGGTCGCCCCGACCCCTGAGAAGGTGGCCACTGGCCCGGCCACGCCAATGTGTCTCCCCCTTCGGAGGGCCACGGAACGGCCACGGGGCGGGTGGGAGGTGTGCACTGACTGGCTCCACTGGGCAACCGGACGTGCAAATGCCCGGGCCGAGGACAGTTCCTGACATGGGCCGGCACAGGGGCTGCAGGACGCACCATCCCCGGCCACTCCAGGGGCCTTCCTGGGGGCCCGCCGGGGAACTGCCAGGATGTCTGCAGTTCCATGCTAGGAGCCCAGCCCTGGGGATGCCCCCCTGGTGGGACCCGGGAGGCTCCCGGAAGCAGGAACATGCACAAGGCACATGCCAGCTCGCCCGGCCGCACTGCCAGGGCCCGGAGACCCCCGAGGGCACCGCTGATGGCAGAGGCGCGGCCTGTCCCGTGTGACCTCATGAGTCCCGAAGGTTAACCCTTGCCTGGCGTCTCCGACTGAGCCCGTCTTTCGTTCAGAGCAATGCTGTGGCTTGAACGCGCCCTGGGACGTTGGTCGCTTCCTTCCCGAGAAGAGGACATCGACCCCGACAGCAGCGTGCAGACCGCGGCGTCCCGCCCACGCTCCACCCGAGCCCCCGGAGCCGCGAGGGCAGCCGGCGGCAGCCGCGCCGCGAGGACGAGCTCTGGCGGGCGAGCAGAGGCGCGGGGGGTGGGGGGAGGCCCGCAAAGTGAGCAGCACCCACAGAACACGCGGCTCCCACGCGGCACAGATGGCAGACGTAAACACGGGCAATCTGCGAGCGGGCGCCCGCCTGGCAGGCAGCTGGCCGCGTGGGGCCTGCCTGGAGACGGGGCCTCGGGGCGGGCGGCACCGGCTGACGGGGGCTCAGCAGGCCGCGGGCTCGGCCTCGGCGTGCGAGCGGGGACGGGCGTCTGGTCTGCCGTGAGTCACGAAGGAAGGGGCGTCTGCCCTGCGGGGGTGTGCGTGCCGCGGGCCGGGGCGGCTGCGGTCACTCTCGAGAGAGCCTCCAGGGCGCTGGAGTCCCCCCTAACCCGCACCCCGGGCATGGCATGGCTGCACCACATGGGGTGGGGTGGCGGGCCAGACATCACCGGGCGCGTGGTGGAAGGAGACGCTTCCGCGGCCACGTTCTGGCCACAGTCTCGTTCTGCCAGGGCCCACGGGCCACAGTTGCCCATGACCAAAATTTGCCCAAAGCCACGTTCTGCCCATGGCCACAGTCCGCCACAGCCACAATCTGCTCTCAGGGCCTGGGAAGAACAGTCACCTGCCCTTGGGGTACCGGAAGGACCATCACCTGTCCTGGGGTGCAGGAAGGACCATCCCCAGCCTTCTGCGAAGAAAGAACCATTATCTGCCCTGGGGGCACAGGAGGAAGTCGCCTGCCCTCGGGGTACAGGAAGGACCATGACCTGCCCTGAGGTGCGGTCAGGACACTCACCTGCCCTCGGGGTGCAGGGAGGAGTGTCACCTGCCTCGGGGTGTGGATGGTTCTTCCCCAAGAGGCCCACCGGGCTCTGACCACAACACGGCCCCTTAGAACCCGAGGGGATGTCTGTCCCTCTCTGCCGAGGTCTGGGAGCTGAGGGGCAGTGAGGAGTCTGGCAGCGCCCAGAGCCCTTCTCCCGCACCTCCATCAGGTCTGCAGGCTGAAGACCCCCCATCAGACTCCACCTGACCTGCACACTGGGGACCCCCAGGAGACCCGCAGACTGGGGACTCTCCCATCACACCAGACTTTATTTATTTATTTATTTATTTTGCTTTTGGGGTCACACCCGGCGATGTTCAGGGGTTACTCCTAGCTCTGCACTCAGGAATTACTCCTGGCGGTGCTCAGGGGAACATATGGGATGCTGGGAATCGAACCCAGGTTGGCCGCGGACAAGGCAAATGCCCTACCCACTGTGCTATCTCTCCAGCCCCCACGCCCAGACTTTAGACTCCCCCATCAGACCCGCAGGCTGCAGACCACCCCTGCTGTCTCTGGGCAGGGTGGGGTTGCGGCTCCTGGGATGGGAACCGGCACTGAGTTCTGAGTCTCATCCCACGACAAAGAGGGAGGGGTCTGGGAACAGACGAGTGGGTGGCGAGGGGGCCGGGGCGGGTGTGCGGGAGCCCCCGGTGTAGCTCCCCGAGGCTGAGCCACGGCTGGGGAGGAGACTGCATGAAGGGGTGCAGAGCTACAGAGAGGGGGTGTCGGGTGTGGAGAGAGAGGGGGGTGTCACAGCCCCCACCCTGCAGAGCTGAGGTCGGCCGCGCAGTCCCGAGGAGCGGTCTTGGTCTCCGCAGAGCAGTGGCCACGCCCCCTGTGGGGTGACGGGGTCTGTCCTGGCCGCCCCACGCCTGTCCATGGCGGCGTGTGCAACGTGCCACTTGTGGTCCTGGGATGTCGGGGGCGTCTCCCCGTGCGGAGGACCCGGGGCCGTGGGGTCGACAGTGCCCACTGCGCAGGGCCAGGCGCTGGGGGAGGCGCCCGGGAGCGTCAGCACCCCAGGCGCGAGAGAAGGACTCGCTGGATCTAAGGGCCTGGGGCCGCCCAGCCTCACTCAGGGCAGTGAGGCCTCGCGTGGGCGCAGATGTGCGTGCTGGTGGGGAGGCCCTCAGCGAATGCCACGGGACGCGCGCAGCTGAGCACTGCAGGGTGACGGGATGTCAGAATACCGGCACGTGTAGCTGCAGGAACAGAGGCAGGGCCGGCCCTAGGGGAGATGCCAGCCGAGGCGCAGAGAGCCCGGGCCCCATCCCGGCACAGCCGATGCCCCCGCACCGCGGGCTGGGCTCAGGGCGGGCAGGGCCAGGAGCGCCTCTGCCGTGGCGGGGTGGACCTGCGGCTGCTGCTCTGGCCCGTGGCGCTGCTGCCGGGCCTCTGGCCACAGGGCTCTGAGTGTGCGAGCCGTGACGCGCGCCATCAGCCACCGAGCATGGGCACGTCCCTGGCTCCGAGGCCACTGTGGAGTCTCGGGTGTCAGGGGGAGGTGAGGGGTCAGAGGGCAGAGGGCAGGGGTGACGGGCAGACTCAGCTGTACCCACAGCTCAGTGCACAGGCAAATGGACACGCGGGGGGCCCCCGCAGGAAACAGGCCGGGCGACAGGACGCGGGCAGGGCACACCCACCCCCACACGTTCCCACACGTCCCCAGAGCCCGCCTGCCCCACTCCTGACACCCCCAGGCACCTCCCCGGCCGGGGCCCTATTCTCTGCCCCATCTGACGCAGAGCGGGCTGGCCAGGGTCCCCGAGGGTGAGGCAGCCGTGACCGTCCTCCATGCCAGGGGCGGCAGGTGGGAGGTGCTAAAAATAAGCCGCCGGGCTCCGCTCTGCGCCCGCCACCAGCAAGGCCAAGGATAGGGCCAGGCCGGGCCGTGGCGGGCGCGAGGGGACAGACAGAGACCAGAGCCCCGCCCCCCCAGCGCTGCCCTGCTCCCGGGGCTGTGACCAGTCCCTGCGTTTCCCCACAACTCTCGTCTCTCCGGGTGATCCCTCCACCCCACACCCTCACTGGGCAGCCACGTGTGGCCACGAGAAAGCACGGCCATTCTGCAGGGTCTGGACAGGGCGGGATTCGGGTGCGGCCTGCGGGGAGACCCTCTCTGGGCTGGTCAGCATGCCCGATGCCCAGGTGCCTCAGTGACAAAGGGGCGTGTCTCCCCTCACCCTGATCTGACTCGGCCTGTGCCGGGGCCACCACAGACCCAGGACACCCCCGGGTATCCCAGGGGCCCCACCCTCCAGCAGCTGCAAGCCCAGTGCCCGGCCAGTTGGCACCTACCAACTGGCCCGCAGCGGGAGGGGCCTTAAGCGCTCGGAGGCTGGAGAGCGGCAGCTGCAGTGAGAGACCCGCCTCCCCGAAGGGGTCCCACCCGAAATCAGCTCTAGGGACCAGAGGCCCAGCGCCAGCATCCCTGGCAGGTGGAGATGAGGAGACAGGTGTGAACTGCACATGTGGAGGACGCGGGGGACAGGTGTGAACTGCACACATGGAAGATGTAGGGGACAGGTGTGCTGTGGGCATGTGGAGGAGGCAGGGGACAAGTGAGAGCTACAGGACTGTGGAGGGTGCAGGTGACAGGTGTGCTGTGGGCATGGGGAGGGAGTAAGGAGGGGGGCAGGGAGCATGGGGGTCCTCAGCAGCTGCTGCTCACGATGGCCCTGCTGTGCTCCATCTGAGCCAGACCCCGTGTGGCCCCGGCCCCCACCCCGCTGCCCAGGAGGGCCCAGCCGTGTCCTCCCGGCGGGTCTGGGTGCGCTGCCCTGGCCGTGACCTGCAGCTCGACTGGACGGTGGCCAGTGCCCACGACTGGAGTCTCACTTCATGGTTTGACCAGTGAAAACAGCAGCCCAGTGTGTGGGCAGCACCCGTGGGGTGGGAGGCCAGCTGCCCGCTGCAGGCCTCATGCCCCCTGCTCCCTCCCGCCCTCCAGAGGGCCCCACCCTAGCTGGCCACAGGGCCACTCCCCGCACCTCAGCCAGGACCAGCAGACTCCGAGCACTGTGAAAACATCGGCGACCCCCTGAGGCTGTCACCCGCGCCACGCCCTGCTCTCACCCACACACACTGCAGCTCCTGGCTGCCGCCCGAGGGGGCTGCACACGGGACGGACACGGCAGGACTGCCCGGCCTGCCTACACCTGTCACGAAGCCCAGGATCCCCAACCTCCAGGGAAGATTGCAGAACAATAGGAGGAGGGCGGGCACGGCCCTCAATAGCTGGAGAGGAACTTCCTTTCAGAAAGTCCACCAGTCCGCGGTCACCTCCAGACCCCGTGCTCCCAGTGCTGAGACGGCCCACACCTGCTTCCACTCGGAGGCAGGAGGATGTCAGGCAAGCACGCAAACGGCGTCACACGTTCCCTCACACACACTCACACATGCACGCACACGCTGACCTGTGCTCACATGCATTCATGCACCATCACATGTTCACACACATGCACACACTGTTGTGTATTCACACACATTCATGCACCATCACATACACACATGAACACGATCCCGTGTTCACACACATACATGGACACACACACTGTCATGTATTCACATACATTCATGCACCATCACACATACATGCACACAGTCACGTGATCACACACTCATGCATCATCACATACACGCGTGCACACTATCACGTGTTTACACACATACATGGAAAAACAGTCGTGTATTCACACATTCATGTGCCATCCATCACGTGTCACTTACACACATGCACTCACACACATTTGTGAACCACCACACTCACACACCTGCATGCACATGCTGTCACGTGCTCACACGCATCTATGCACCATCACACACTCACACAGATGCATGCACACACCATCAGATCTTCTCATGCATTCATGCACCATCACACACTCACATGCTCTCTCACACATGCATCACACGTTCACTAACACACACGCCATGCACGTACACTCTGTAACGAGATCACTCACACATGCATGGAGGCTTACGTGGATGCACACGGGTGTGTTCAGACGGACGCTCTCATGCTTGCTCGCTCACATGTACTCACACACTCACGTGTGCATGCTTACACACATGTACACTTTCACACCTGCTTGCTTACATGTAGACTCACGTCACACATACACACACCCACATGTGCACTCACTTATTCACATGTACACTCTCACACACTCACACATACATCCTCACACGCTGGACTGCTCCCATGTACACGCTCTTGCTCGCCCTGCGTGCACTCACTCCCACGCACACGCTCCCGCTAAGCTCACTGTATTCTTCCACGTCCACTCACAGGTACACCCTCACGGTGGCTCACGCACGTCCACTCACACGTTCACTTGGAGGCACGCTCACTCCCACGCACACTCCTGCCCACAGGCACTCTCCAGCAGTCACGCGGGTTCACATGAACTCTCACGCCAACAACCCCCCGGGCTCACTTGCACATTCACAACTACACGCCCGCACAAACGCAGTGCACGCACCTGCAGGTTCACGCGCACACTCACACCACCCTGGAGGCTCACACGACCCACCAAGCTGGACTCCCTGTTCTCACCGACAGGGTGGGCGGGAAGAGGCCAGGGCTCCTGCCCAGCCCCCGGCACAGCAGCCCCCCAAGGCAGCGGTCTCCCTCCGGAGCCCCTCACTTCCCCGGCCAGTGCTCAGCCTCTGGAGAGCACCACGCAAGGCTATTTCGGCCGGGATCCAAGCACAGTCGCCAAGTCTAAGCACGTGACACAGCCTCTCTGTTGGCTCGCGTCCGACTACACGCTGCGTTCGGACGAAAAGCAGAGCTAACCTGGAGAGCAAGCCCGGGCACACGAGACGGAGCCTCTCGCAGAAGCCCACCAACGCGCCTGTCCGAGAGCCCCAGGTCCGCAGCACACACGCCAGATTCTGAATTTTAAAAAAACCTGAAAGAAAATCTTTGGCCTGTGTGTATGTATTTTCAATTCACAGGAACAATAAAAACGCTTCCTTCCCCAAACACGTTCTTTGCCACTAGTTCCCACAAAAGAAAAACCAAGTGCCCACACGGCCCACCTCTCGGCTCGAACCCCTTCCCTTTCGGACTCTGCAGTGTCCACTGCACCTCAGGCTGGGAGGAGGGGGCTAGTGGCCCGAGATGGTCAGCCACATGCACGCAGGACCCACCAGCAGGCGAAGCACCAGAGAGCAGCCCCTCAAATCCCCACAGGGCAAAACCCTGAGGGTCTCAACAAGACCCCTCCCCCGCTGCTGCGGGGAGTGGCGGGGACACGGGCCGGCCGTGCTCTCCGGAAGGTCTGCGGTCACGCAAAGGCCTCACGCCTGTCCCCCGCTGGTCCCGCAGCCCGGCCGCTGGTGGGAAGGCCACCGGGGCTCCGTGCCAAGTCCCACTCGCACCTGCCGGGGAGGGGACAGACAGGGGAGGGGGCCGTGTCGTGGGCGCAGCCTCTGGTGAATCAGAACATTCCGGGCACCAAGGCCAGCTCTGCTGGGAGTTTCTGTCCTTGTCAGCCGTGGCCGGGAAGTGCCCGGAGCCCAGGAAAATGACTAATGTGTATCCTCTGTGCCCGGAGGCCCGAGCACGCCGGGGCCCACCCTGACCAGCGGCTGCGTTTGCGCGACAGACAGGCGGTGCCCTCGGAAGCCAGCCGCCGGGACGCCTGGCACTTGGGATTCTGCCTCCGTCGGTATCACAATAGAAACTTTTGAAAAAAAAAAACCAAAAAAGTCGCTTTCATGTCTCTTCCGGGGCTTGGCTCAGAGATCTCTCCCGGTGGCGCGGCGGAACCCACGCCCGCGCGGAATCCCAGGCAGCGGGGACAAAGGACCAGGATGATGACATTGTTCCAAGGGCTGCGCCTCCACCGGCGAGGACCCGGCCCAAGCCCCTCCGGGCGGGGACCAAGGCCAGGCCCTGCCCAGGGCCCCGGGAGGCTCAGGGCCTGCGCCCGCTCCCGCCGGCCTCCCCTGCTGTCTCGGGGCGCTGCCCGTCTCATCGCAGCACACGGGCCAGGCTGGACTGCCCGGGAAGGACACGTCCCGGAGGGCCACGCGTGCCCCTGGAAGCCGGTGGGTGGGCGCGCTGCCCAGCACCCCTGGGTCTCGGGCGGGCACGCCCAGGCGCTGGTCCCGTGCAGGGCGGAGGCTGCCGGGTGGGCTCACAGCGGGACGCGCCCCTGACCACCGCCCTGACCATGCCCTGGCCACTGCCCGCTGCAAGCGACCCGGGAGTGGGTAAGGGTCTGCACCGGACGGAGGGCAGCACGGCCCCGCGCCTCCCGGAGCGGGCAGCAGCAGGTGGACGGGCCGCCCGGCCCGGGACCCCCGCCGCCCGGCGCGACCCCCGCCCCGTGCTCACCTGCAGGCGGCCCAGGCTGGCGCTCCTGCAGCGCGACCGCCGGCGCAGGTACACGGAGAAGAACCTGCGCACCGTGAACTTCCTCATGGCCGGCTCCATGGCCCCGCGCGCGGCCGGGGCGCCCGCACGCCCGCGGGGCGCATGGCACGGGCTCGGGTGGGCGCGGGCGCCCGCGGGGCACAAAGGGCAGCGCGCCGGCCGCCGCCGCCGCCCGCGCCCGCGCCCTCCCGCCGCCGCCGCCGCCGCCGGGCCCGGCCGCCGGCCCCGCCCCGCCCCGCCGCTCCGCCAATCGCCGCGCGCCGCCCCGCCCCCGCTCGGCGCCCGCGCCAATCGGAGCGCGCCGCCCCGCAGCCCCGCCCCGCCCCGCCCCGCCCCGCCCGCGAGAACCTGCTCCCCGCGGTGGCCCCGCCCCCGCCGCCACTGCCAATCAGCGCGCGCCGCCGCCCGGGGCCACGCCCACCCCCCCGGGCGCTCGCGCCTACTCCCGAGTCCGAGTACACCGGGGCTCGGCCCCGCCCCCCGGTCCCCTGCCTCCAATCAGCGCCCGCCGCCGCCCGCAGCGCCCGCCCCCCCGGCCCCGGCCCCGCCAATCAGCGCGCGAGGGGCGCATGCCCGCTGGGCCGCGGGACTCGGGGCTGCGTAGTCGCCGCTGGGCCCCGCGGGGGCCTGCTCGGGTGTCCACGGGGGTCTTCCGCCGGCCCCCCAAGACAGCCCACACACAGGCACACACACACACGCGCACGTCGGCAGATGATGGAACAGCAGCTTAAATCAAGTCCAGGAAACTTCCACTGTGCATCAGGCAGCCTTTCTAGAAACGGAACCAACCTGGGTGCCCTGGGCCTGGCTCGGTGCCCGCCCCCCTCCGGGTCACTGCGGGTCCCCCACCGACGCCCCCCAGCACGCACCGGGGGTGGAGAGCAAAGACACGCGTGCCTCGAGCTCGCCGCCTGCAGAGCACACACCCCCGAGGAGCCCCGAGCTCAAGGGACTCCAGGCCCGCCCAGGGGAGGCCGTGGGCTGCCCTTTCTCTCACGCCCCAGGCAGTGCAGAGCTGAGGTCGGGTGGAAGGAGGGTCGGACTCGCATCAGCACTGTGCCCTGGGGTGGGCAGACAGACGGCAGAAAGCAGCCGCTCGCCCCCACTCCCTGCAGCAAACGCCACCTCCACACTCCAGGAGGCTCGCGACCGCGCAGAAGGCTCCCCCGTATAACCTAGATATAGGCTGCAATCATTTCATTTTCAAAAGTTAGCAGGGCTGGAAAGACCGCTCTTCAACACGCGGCACCCTTGCTTCGGCATGGGGGAGCTCTGGGTTCAACTCGGGTGCCAGCTACCAACCAGGAGCAGCCCAGGAGCGCGCAGCGCGCGCGCGCACACACACACACACACACACATCAACAGATGATGGAACAGCAGTTTAAATCAAGTCCAGGAAATACCGACTAGAGGAGCAGTTGACTCTGATAGTAAGCAAGACAGAATCAGGAGTGGGACGTGGTATAGACATCAAGGGACTGCGCAAAGAGAAAGGGAAAGAGGGAAGGGTGCAGGGGAGCGGGGCAGAACAGGAGGATGCCCAGTGAGCAGCTTTGAGAGAGGGGCGTTGACCTGGTTTGCTCTGGAGTTTCCTGGTGTGACATGTCGCTGACCCTCAGCAACCCTGCCCTGCAGGGCTGGGGTACGGCCTGGGGTGCAGGAGGGCCCCGCCCACTCCTGTGGCCGCACCCATACTGCTTGCCGTGACCAGGATGGGGGCCTGCAGGGGAGGCGGGCAGGGAGCTTCCCTGGGCGTGCCGGGCCCAGACTCCTGGGAGCGCCTCTGGACCACCTGGAACATGGGCACACGGTGCTCGTGGAAGGAACCCTGGACACTAGTCTCAGGCCTGCTGGACACCGGGACGGAGGGAAGGCCAGGGTGGGGGCCATGTGGCGTGGCCGGAAAGCCCCCCTGTCACAGTGTCCCCAGCTCTGCAGTCACTGCTGCCGGCGCTCACTGGTCTTTCCCTTCCTTCCTGGACGGCAGGGGACCGTGGGCATCCGGCGGCTCAGGAAGTCAAAGGCCGGCGCTGTCCTGCCGGGGAGCAGCGGCTTCGGCTGACCGCCGGCCTGGACGGGCAGGACACTCACGCTGCACATGGTGTGGGGGGGGGCGCATCTCAGCGGGGGAGCGTCTTCAAGAGCAGGGAGGAGATGCCAGGGTGTGGAGCGGTGCGGGCGCTGTGCCGGGGGAGGGGTTCTGTGAGCTCGGCCCCACGGGCCCTGCCACGGGGGCTCTGGACTCTGGCCCTGCCGCCCAGGCCGAGGCTGAGCTGACAGTGCACAGGGCTGGCCCAGTCTGGTGGGGGAGGAGCGGGGCCCCAGGGGGCTGCCGGGCAGGCGCCCTCCTGGGGTTGGAATTAGGGCAGGAGCAGATCCCCGAGGCTCCCGGGCCCCTGAGGAGCACTGCGAGGAGGAGCCCCCAGTCCCATCGCTCGGCTCAGCGCCCACTCAGGCGGCCGAGTATTCCTAGGGGGACACACGAGTGAAAACTCACTTCGGGGACCAAGGCACGAGATGTGGGGACCACCAGGATAGGGTACACAGGGAGGAAACAGGGGGGGCAGCACCACGGTGGGGGAAGGCTGAGGCCCCCGAGGCCTGCACGGGCCCCTTCAGCTCTGGGAGACGGGGCCAGGCGGGCACGGGGCGGGCGCTGACCGCCTCCACACAGGCCGGCAGACCGACTTTTGTCCAGCCCGTTTCCTCTTATTCTTCAGATGTGGCGGCAGGAGTTTCCCTGGGAATTTCCTGCTCGCAAACACGCATATACACACGGTCACATGTGCACACACATGCCAGTACTCACATGCCTGCGTGTATTTACACACGTGCACACACGTACACACAGCTGTGAGCATGTGCACCCACATGCAGTAGACCCACCGTTATCCCAGGCCGTGGGGGGAAGCCAGGGGCTTCCGTGTAAATGTCTACACTGCGAGTGGTACGAGGGTTCTGCCCATGGGCAGGGCTGGCCAGGCTCTCATGCAGGAGCTCAGATGGTGTGGCCAGGGCATGGCCGAGGGTGTGGCCTCCTGGGGTCCTGGGCTGGGCAGGGGCTGACGGACTGGCAGGCAAGTGGGCGCGACTCCGGATTAGCTCACAAGGAACAGAACCAGAAACTCTCAGGGGCACCAATACCTCTGCACACAGAGCCCTGGGGCCAGCTGCCCGCACAGGCAGGGACAGGTGGGCAGCCGAGTTGGGGTCCTCATGAGGAGGGCGGGCAGCAGCCCGGGGGACAGAGATGTCTGTGGGTGAGTGCCCTGCACACTGTCCTTTGTCTATGACCCACAGAAGCACTGCATACCTAGGCTGTGTCTGATCCACAGAGGCACTGCATTCTTAAGCTGTGTCTAATCCACAGAGGAACTACATACTAGGCTGCGTCTGACCCACAGAGAAAGTGCGTACCTAGGCTGCATCTGACCCACAGAGACACTGCATGCTAGGCTGCGTCTGACCCACAGAGAAAGTGCGTACCTAGGCTGCATCTGACCCACCGAGACACTGCATGCTAGGCTGCGTCTGACCCACAGAGAAAGTGCGTACCTAGGCTGCATCTGACCCACCGAGACACTGCATGCTAGGCTGCGTCTGACCCACAGAGGCACAGAGGCACTGCATACCTAGGAAGTGAAGGTGCTGGTTGCTGTCCCCGCTGTGGGTGCTCAAACCCTGTCCATCAGATCTCAGTCAGATGCCAGCCCCCTTCTCCTTTGCCCAGAATGCCTTTCCTGGAGGGAGCCCCTGGCAGCTGGCTTGGAATTCCCACTAAGGAGGGGGGGCTCTCTCGGGCTTCTTGGGCAACCCAGAGCTGTTCCTCCGTTTCTGGACTGGGGGGTGCTGTCTGGGGTGGGGGTGAGAGCTCCTTCCGGGAGGAGAAGGGGGCAGTGCAGGCAGCCCACCCCACCTTGACAGGCACCCTTCTCCTCTTCCATTTGGGGACTCGGTGTTCGTGTCCTACCAGGTAGAAGGCGCAGGCGAGGTCATGCAACCGCAGGCACTGCCGCAGCCAGGCCTCCCCCAGCCCTGCATAAGCTCTTCCTAGCAGAACGGCTTCAGCCCCTGCAGCTCACAGCAGGCAGAGCAGGCGGGGGGGGGGGGGCGGTGGGGTGGGGGACGGGGACAGGGGGACGGGACTCCCTCTCCAAGGGGCTCAGCGCGGGACAGGCTGCGTCCCGTCGAGGTGCCTGGGTGTGAGGACGATGCTGAGCCGGACCCTCCCGCGTGCACTCCAGACCCAGTGCTCAGGGTGGTCCCGGCAGCACCACCCACACCAGCAGGGTGCCAGCTTGTGAGGGTGCGCGGCTGGCAGTGCCCCCTGGAGGCTGCCACGGCAAGTGCCACCCTGTCCGTGACAGGAAAGGGGAGCAGGTGAGGAGCAGCCGGGGGCCTGCGGGAAGCCCCTTGGGACAGCGGCAGCTCGGCCAGCACATGCCAGCACCAGCCTCACCCCTGCCTCTCGGGGTCCTCACGTGGGGTCCCTGCTCCACCCACCCAGGTTTCCAGCACACGATGTGATGCGGTGTGAGCCCGACCCACGGCCCTGCCTGTGGCCAAGAGCAGGCGACGCTGACCCCACGAGGAGCAGATCCCATTCAGAAGTGCTTCCAGCCCCCCGCCGGGCGGAACGTGACCCTGCACTGCTGCTCAGAAGAGGGCCGGCCATCTGTTCATCCAAGCACGTCCCCTCGTGGGGTGACGACGTTTCACCCTGGTTCCCCTGCTGGGTGCCATGGGGGAGAGGGGACACTGTCACTTAAAGAAGGGAGACACAAGACCACTCCTGGGAATGTTTCCCGAGGGTGCAAGAAAGCACAGTAGGAATGACACCTGCATCTGTCTGTTCATTGCAGCACTGTTCACAATAGCCAGAATCTGGAAACAACCTGAGTGCCTGAGAACAGACGACTGGTTAAAGAAACTTTGGTACATCTACACAATGGAATACTATGCAGCTGTGAGGAGAGATGAAGTCATGGAAGTTGCTTATAAGTGGATCGACATGGAGAGTATCATGCCGAGTGAAATGAGTCAGAAAGAGAGGGACAGACATAGAGGGATTGCACTCATTGTGGAATATAAAACAACATAATATGAGACTGACACCCAGGGACAGTAGAGACAAGGGCCAGGATGTTTTCTCCATAGTTGGCAGCCTGCCTCATGAGCTGGGGGAGAAGG